TGTAACTAATAATGTTTTTAACAGTTAACACTAAAGTAATGTGCTGACAGCAAAAACACATTTAAAATTTAAATAACATATGAATATATAATTAAACTAGTAAGATGTTCTTATGTAGCATAATATGATACGGACGAAACCGGAGCATTATGAAATAGTAAAAGCGATTCGTATTGTTCTGTAATAGGTCTATGTACGAATCGTTAATATCATTCATAATAATCAAGACACGTGATTCATACGACTGTTAAAATTGTCACAACATTTAGGAGTCTTATATCTATCTTATATATAAAACTGAAGAGTTTGTTTGTTTGAACGCGCTAATCTCAGGAACTGCTGGTTCGAATTGAAAAAATATTTTTGCAGACTATTTATCTAGAACGGCACATATAACACCATGCTTCGACCAATAGGAGCCAAGATACAGTGGAAACTGTGGCAAGAATGGGGAAAATTATGCATATTTCAGGGCTTCCGTTGGACGCGCTGCGTAAACAATTAAAAAAATTATGATAGCTTTTAAGAAAATTAACTCACAAGAACCAGGTAACAACTAGTTTATAATATACGTATGCTACAAATGTATAAACATGTATTCCTTAACTAATTTAACTGTCTAAATGGAACTTGGAATCACGCACGGCTTCCGCAACAACACCCGCGCCATGATTATAACTGATGCTGAACTGTCCATTCAAAACGGTTCAGCATTTTAAACGCTGGAATATGTCAAATAAAAGATTGAGCGACGCGTGAGTTTGCTATTTTGTTTATTCCTGCTACTAAGATGTGCTTACTTTGCAAATATTGGCAACGTAAAGTGTTTCAAGCTTAATCCGATACAATAATACCCCACTATCAGCCTACGACAAGTATTAAGCCCTCGACGGCGCCAGCTGGCATTCTTATTGCGGGAGCAACTTTCATGAATAGCTAACCGACTGGTTCAATGCACTATCTATCACAGTTAGACACGAACTAACCCAAACTATTCTTTATTTTCCGTCTTGTGATACACGAAAATCGGTCAGTATAACTATTGTTTACATGAAAAGAGCTGTGAAAATCTCACTTTATCTATAATTGAAGAATTAATATTATAAAGCTGAAGAGTTTGTTTGTACGCGCTAATCTCAGGAACTACTAGTTTGAATTGAATAATCTTTTTTGTATTGTTTAGATCATTAATCGAGGAAGGATTTAGGCTATAAAACATCACGTTACGACTAATAGGAGCGCGAAACGGTTCAAAATACGTAAATATGTATTTTTTGGGTATTGAATTCCTCATTAAACGGTCTAAAAAATGTCCATGACCAGTGTATGTCCATCTTTTAAGGTTAACTTGCAAGAAAGACGCAACGGGATTCGGACGACGCGCGTCGTCGGTAACAGCTACTTTATAAAGTTGAAGAGGTTTGAAAAACAAAATTTTGATGCCTAAAACAACTATTCTACGCGGAGGAAGTCGCTGGCACAGCTAGTAAAATTATATAACTGAGCATGGATGATATAAAACGATATACAATTCAAATATTTCAGTACCTACTTAATACAATGTAAGTGTTTAAAGCAACTCGGTAGTTGATACCGAGAAAATACATACAAAGATGACCTGAATCGACAAAACAATCCAGAACCTTCTATTGTTTTCTTATAGAGTCATCTGTATATTTCTTCACGGCATGAAATATCATTTATTTCAGATAATATAAAATAACTTATTATTTACTACTACTAAATGTGCGCATTTTAATTAGGCTAATATAAAAATAAAACACTTTAACGGTTTAAAACGCGATATATTAGTTAAACTTATTTAAAAATTATTTTTAACTTCGGCCCGACGTTTCGGATACTTCGCAGCACGTGGACCCGTTTATATTATGATTTCAATTAATAAAACAAAAGTAAATACAATTTCTACTTTTGATAATCATAAAAATTGCAATTACAAACTACATTCGAGACAAAGGAAAATTACGCGCAGTAATAATATGTTCACACGCAAAATAAGAGCAAGAAATGTAATCAATGAACCATTCAGTGTGCAATTTGAATTATTTTTAGATTCCCAAGCGAGTGTTGTCGGTGTTCAGTTTATCTTCAAATAGAGGTATTAGAATCAATCTTCTTACGCGCGCCTACTGCATCAGCGGCGGACAAGATAACCTCTCGGAAGAACTCTTTTTTATTCTTTAAACGCACTATTTCAAGATCACTCATTACATTGTGAAAATCAATAAAATTCGGTTTAAGCTTAAGTAAATAATGTTATTATTTCAAAATCAACATACTGTTAATATTCAACATAGCTGTAGTTAATCATTTAGCGATTCTATAGCGAGATATTTAAGGCAAAACTTCTTGCAAATGACTATGTATGATAGATTTGCATCTGAATCATCTTGAAACGTGTTATTTGACATTTCTTAACGTTACAGTATTTCCGACGTCCTTATAGTACCTAAGCATATTATTTTATTATATGGTTGTTGTATTAGAGTAACGTAAGCCATCCCTAATCAAATTAGATATAATACTCCGAGGTTAAGAAACAATTGAGACTGGTCAAAACTTATCAATTAATAACATCATTCTGCGTAGTATCATTGTTATTCTTTGGAAAATTTGTGTCAATCATAAAAGCATAAACAACACATAATTTAAACAATTAAAACAATAACTGGGTCATTTGTATCAATTCAATATTGGCGTTGACAGCCAATGTGGGAATATTAGTAACAATTGAACAGTGTGATTTATATGCTTTTAAAAATTCCACAACTCTTATTACTCAGCGCTAGATGTGATAGTAATCGATGTGCAAGAAGCTGATAATCAGCGCTGAGCAAGCCATATGAAGTTTAACATGCGCCTTTGTGGAAAGTTATTAAGATTATTTATTAATTTTAATCAAGAAATATCTGTCTCCGTAACTCAGTTTTATAGGTGTTACAAAGGATTCGGATACAAAATCTTGGGGAAAGTTTCAGTCAGACGGAACACCAAAGTCTGATGATCCACCCGTTGGCAGATAAAATCGACTTGTTCGACAAACACATCAGTTAAAACGGGGTTTTCCACTGGTACAAAAAAATAATTACCAACTGTAAATGTAGAACTCATAGGTCTTATCACTCAACTAGTGCACACTAGTGACCCTGAAACTAATCAATTTCTTATCGTTCGTAGTTATTACCCATTAGATGCATTCAATGATTGCTCTCATTTTCTCTTGCAAACGAATATATTTGTAGGTCACATTTTTCTATCGTTTTGAAGAGGGTTTTTTATTCTAATTACAATTATGTCTTCCTACAATGGTAGAACGTATGTGCAAATGTGTATGTCTGTAAATAAAGTTAAAATTAAAAGTAGACATATGTGTGTCTGTTAAAAGCTACAGAAGTGTATGCGAGTTTAACTCTTTAAACTTATTTGACGGGGGCCACCTCCTGTCTCCCCGTGACCACGGATGCTGGAAAGCATCCGAAAAGTCGGGCCGTATTTAGATTTTTTTTCAAATATGTTTAAATAAGTAATATAATTATTGCGTTGTAAACTGTTAGTGTTTTATTTAAAGGTATATCTGTATATGAAACATACATACGTATTTCTACTTCCGCCACACTGATAGATTATTTTCAGCTAAAGAAGTAAGTGATCATCTTTCATTACCTAAAACAGTCTTAGACCTCGGGCAAAATTGTAGTTAGTTTGGGTGATATTGCGAATTAAAATAAAAATGGAATTTCGTGTGTCCATAGCAAACAGGTTAACAGTGCTACTAACTAAGATCTACAGGTAAACATTTAATTTACAATTACTGTAACTAGTGACCCGCCGCACGTGGTCGTCCACAAGTTGCCATATTCAGAAGTAATCTAACCATAAACAATCCAAGTCTATATCCTAACTCCAAACTAAGCTTATTGTTATCTGTATAACACTCGAAAATAACTATGACACGCGAGAGAGGATTTACAAATCAATATTTATAGGTTCTTCATAAGATCACGTTTAAGTGTACCTAACAGTTCTTTATATTATAGCGTAATTATTATTTTAAATTCTTTACTTCTTTAAATTAATACACTAACAAAAAAAATATTACTATACGATATTTACATGCGAAACCGGCACGTCCAATTTATCAATTGTTTTGGTTTGATTGATAGCCTTTGCATAGCGATGTGTGAACAATACATTAATCAACACCGTAATTTGATTGTATCCATTAATTTTCAATAATGAGTATTCGGTATTAAAGGTATTTTGGACTGTAATTAAATCTTGTAATCCCGCACAATACCGCGTTCAGACCAAATATTATGGTTCGTTATGAAGTGTGGCGAAAATTCTCGGGAGCGAGTCGTTTGAGCTATGTTTACCGTCCATACAAACCGATATTGACATTCTCTTTGCCGACTAAACGACGGCTAATCCCTTTGTGATCCGCTTCTTGTGTTTCATATCTACAAAATACATTTATTATAAAGAGCTTTTCTTTTATAAAATGAGACTATTCAATTCTAGTTTCGTTAAAAGGTTTTATGCGATAAATACAATGTTTCTTCTGTTTCATGTCAATCTTTTAATCTTATGTTAAGAACCGTACTTGTACAGAAATGTATAATGAGTTAGTTCTTGTTGATTAACGTAACTACTACTATATACCACTATAATGGCCAAACATATTATGTGTTTCGTTTACATAAAAACATGTTTTTGTATAAAAATATAGACAGTTGAAAATATTATACTAACACCATTAAAGATTTTTAACCTCTGTCTATGCTTAAAAATTACATCAATAAAATATTTTAAGTTGGAACCCCAATTATGCACCTTTTGTTTAATACATTTAACTAAGGCGCTAAAATACTTGTACTTGTACAGCAGCCGGTCGGCTTATATATAATTCGCATTCGACTCGTTTAAATTTTATTTAAAGTAAACTACAGATACAACTAGTTTAAGAAATACTCATACAGATGCGAGATTCGGCCTTGGCGATAAGGGCGGTCCACTTTCATAGTTTGTATGCCAGCGTCGATGCAGCATTCTGCAAGCTGAGACATCACACATTACTAGAAAGCGATCCAGACGAATTATGTCTCTGGGACACGAAACAGGAACTTACTGAAACGAGTCTCAATACAGAAAGCATAAATACATAGAAAATTGTGCTATTAACGTTATAAACACAGAAATATTGTACTAGTAACTTTACATTATAACAGCGTCTTTTTGTTCTTTATACGTCTTCAAATATTTATTTATCTATACTTACTAATGTATAAAGCCGAAGAGTTTGTTTGAACGCGCTAATCTCAGGAAGTACTGGTTCGAATAAAAAAAAGTTAAAAGTTAAAGTTGTGTTCGTTAGAACATTTATTGAGGAAGGCTATTATATATTAGGCTATAAAACATGGCGCTGTGACTAATAGGAGCTAAGAAACAGCGGGAAATGTCGAAAAAACGAGAAAATTATTCATCATTATGGGTTTCCGAGACGTACGCTGCAAAAACGGTTCAAGATAGCCAAAAAATATGTATCAAAGAATTATTTCTCTTAAAATTATCTAAAAAAAGTCCACGACGCTATATGTCTATATTTTAAGATTACCTTGTAATAATGACGGGAAGGGACGCGACCAACGACGTGGATAACAGCTTAAGTTTATAAAGATAAAGATGAGGGGGTTTGCAAAAACGAATTTGTAAATCAATATATCAATGATAACAATGCATTGAATCGATATTATATCAAGAAAACAATTTAAGTCTAATCAATCACAACACAAGATTGTGTCCTATAACCTCAAGACGATGTTGTAACAATCTGAGGCCTCTTGGATACACGAAAATTTAATATTTCCAAATAGAGGATTTTATAAAGAATGGAAAAGGTTAAGGTCGCCAAAGCTCATTACACTGATAACCTATTTAACGAAACCTGTTCTAGGTTTGATGAATATTTATAAACATAAATTAAAGTGTTAAATTTTATGTACATACGAGTGTATTATCTATACTTAGTAATATATACTACAAATATACACTCGTGTTTTCTAAATTCTATGTAAAATCAATTTAATATGTAGCTTTTGTCCGTCATTTTGTATCAATCATATAAGAAAATCTTTTTTTATAATTTAAATACATATTTAAGATAAACTACTTCTTGGAATTTTCAAACATAAAATGTAAAATTATACAGCTTGTGAAGCAAAAATAGAAATGGAAAGCATTGCTGGAAGATACGATAGAACATTGCAAGTGAAAATAAATAATAACTTAATAGAAACAAATAAAATGATTATTGTTCTCTTTCAGAAGCGTGGCCGAGAAGCGCACGCGCCGCAGCCGGTTATAATGTGAGCGGCGCACGAACACGCGCGTCTTCCCTCAAGGTAAACACTCTTTATTTATCATTCACTAGTGACCCGCCCTGGTTTGTTTGTATTGCTCATCAAAAATAGAAGTACGTAGTCGACGCTTTAAACTTAGATTTTGTACATTTCTATTAGCACATTCATATTTTGATTAGCATAAACATCAGGTTTCACACATAAATTAGTTATGTCAATTTAACTAAAACCCTCTAACGGTTTAAAACGCGTTATATATTCGGCTACTGCAAAGCATCCGAAACGTAGATAAAATAATTTTTTACTTTTAATATATATCACGTTTTAAACCGTTAAAGTGTTTTATTTAAATGTGTACTATTCGCGTAAACTACAGACAGTTTTTAACTTATGACAATGTCAACTCTAATACCGATTTATAATATCGGCATATAATTCGTTTCTAGTTTACTTTAATAAAAAGTCGACGTTAAAAACAATAAGCAGATGTACTACATAAAACTACGATACACATATTATCTTGATTCAACAGAATAATAAAACTTGGCAATTAAATTATTTACTAAAACAAGTCCAACAACACTACGACTACATTCAGGTAACCTTTATTAAGCCAGCATTAATTATTTTGAGGGCACAACCATGAGACGGAGTGATCGCAAACTGCCGTCGCGATGTTCAAAAATAACATCGTCGTTAACAGATTACATTAAAACTGTCCATTCAACTTTCCAATACAAAACATAACTTAAATAAAATTTATTGTGGCTTCTTTAACTGAATTTTCAATGACGATAACTAAATTCTACTCAAACCTTTACTTTTACAATGTTTTGATATGAAATGTCAATTCAATTTATTATATATTTATCATATATTTAATTATTGTTTGGAAGGTGTCTATATATTGTCTTTATTGATCTATAATGTTAATCAACAATACTACTAGTATAATATAAAACGAAAAAATTTATTCATTTATATGTCATTTGACACACGCGCATAAAATAATAAAATGTTATTATATACTGTTACTGAATACAGAAGTTACTCGTACGTCTGGCGTAGCTATTTGTTTAACTTCAATTAGTAAGTACGCCATCGAAGCTTCTGGCGAAAGCTTTAATTAGCATTTCCAGCATACCACCGAGAGCTGCCTACTGTCTGTTCTTGTTTTTACGTAGCACAATTTTAACCGGAAATTTCTCAATTTTATCATAGTTAATTGGACAGGGTCGTTATTTTAGACATAACAATGTTTTTTTTTATACATAGTTTTTATTGCATTTCTCTTCTTTTACTGATTTTAAGAATAGAAGACTTATTTTTAAAGCCATTTTCTTGTATATGTTTTAATATTTTACCCGATTTCGTAATCCGTTATAAGTAAAACACTATTCGTCAATATCCTGTAGGCTCAAAGCAAACAGTGTTACTTCATATGTATGTAAATTTGACCGACATCGTGGCTGACCAGTTAGTATCACTAGACAACACTTTCACGACGCCAATGTTTGGTCATTACCATACAATAGACATTAATGGCTATGGTTGCTATAAACAAAATTCTAGTTAGCTAATTTATATTGACGAAAACATTTAAACAATATTTCGAGTATATCTTGCTTTTGCGTTTCATATATACTTACACAGATCAAACTATATTATATTAGAGTTTACACTATATATAACTGTTTTATTGTATAGACTATGCAATCCAGCTATCATTTATAAGAAATCAGTTATTATAAAAAATGGTACAGAACTTTTCGTGCGCGAGTTTGAGATTGCATTTGTTTTTATAAATATGTAGATTATAAATATTGATTGCCTTTCTTTCCAGAATGAGATACGTAAATAAAAATTGTTTTAAGTGACATCCGTACCCAAATGATAACACCATCTGGACAACACCTGCTAGTCTTTTGAGGGTTACCAAGTTGCCGAGCGTGACTAAAGAAAGTCCGTTATTGTTCCCTCTTCTCAATCTTGTTGATTCATGCACGCGTTTTAATTAAACAAACGTTACTAAATAGATACGCGCATTAGACTGCATTGAGGATACACCGAGACGTGCATTGGCTAACTCGTTATGCGTGTCACTCTACTAGTAAATGTATCTGTTGCCGTCCGTATGTATAATTTTGGTGTTCCTTATAATAACTAGGTAATATATACAATGTTCGGGATCTAGGCAATGTATGAAATAACATGTGTATTGTGCAGTGAAATGTAGAATAAATAGATAAACTATAGTAGAACCTGCCGTTTCAGCGTAAAAATTATACATCTTAAATATAAAGGGATGCTTTTTTAATTATTAACTGGCCTACCTATAAACTGACATATTGTTATATAGTCTCTTATTGTAAAACTTAATTAACTTTACCAAAAAATTCCTGATTACAGTTTTATGAAAAGGCTACAAATACTTTATTTAACTATAAATTAAATTACAAAATAGTAAAATGATAATAAATTAGCCTTAGCTTTTTTACATTATCATGTTTTATACAATACCTACGTATTTATATAAGGTCCATTAAGGTCAATCTAGGCATTTTTTTGAACACTCGTTTCCAGAGATTGCCGGTAGCATATCCATCAAAGATCTTCAATTTTATTTTCTATACTGAAGTACCCGCTTGAGTCAAAAAGTTATTTATGTGCAACCCTGTACGTCTGGCTCAGCATTGTCCGAGCTTCGTTTCGTTCGCGCATGCATGTCAAGGTAGGGTTCAACATTCGAGGATCCGCCGGCTAATAATACCTAATAACATCGAGGCAGATTACCCGGTGCGTCTGCGCAATGTAAATTAATTCGTTACAGCACTGGGTTGTGTCAGGGCAACGAGGTTATCGATAAGTGGCGGTGGCGATGGAAAGATGGTGGGTGAATCAAGCGACTATTGAAATACGGTCAGAACCCGCGTAGCGCTTCCGTGTGCGATGCGCGATCATTGCCAGATGCCGTCGATAGATCGCGACGGGGTCAACAGCCACTGCCCTTGTTTTATGCACTAAATTATTTACCGATGGGCCAGTTTATTAACTCTGCTCGTCTTCATTACTAGGGTCAAGGGAAATGCGTTTAAAGATTATCACAATAATAACATAATATTAATAAAAAAATAATAATCTATAATCATTTTCACCGAACATTCTCCGAACAAAAACAGTAATTTCAATCAATTAAAATTTAGATAAATTTAAAAAATAAAACTACAACAAGTAGGTATATCCTTTAGTAGCCTTGATTATGACAAAAATTTGAAATATAAATGAAGTAATTTTAAAGATATTTATAAAATTCTTAATAAATTAAGTGCATAATTGGTGCGTATTTTTTCAATTACATGAACTTTTATTCAAACAAAGATTTATGATACAAGATAGATAATATATACAAACTCGTATAAGCCATGTGAAATGGATATTTTAAGTATCAAGAAGGTATGAGGGATTCTTATTCACTTGATTCGAAGTTTATATTTCTTATAATATTTCTATTTCATAAAAGTAATTCTATATATACTAAAACGCACTAGCGCATGAATACAAGTTAAAGTTGTGTCATCTTATATTTTTAGTAAAGTCATTACTTGAAATCAATGCCCGCAGGAATATGAAGCTCTTTATCGCGTCGGAAATTAAGAACCACAGTCGGTGTCTCTAGAATCAGACCGATCACAAAAGCAGGTAGATTGTGCTTTCAATGAATAGATGACGATAGATGCATCTAGTTATGCCCATCTATTGATACAATGAATAAGGCCGAACCTTGATCCAATTTATGAGCCATTTTATTCTGGATTGTTCATGAAGACCATTTAACCATGACAGTTAAAAAACAGACAGACATGAGAATGTCATTAACGAAAATATTTAAAAGAAATAGATAGTATAAGTTTAACGCATTCCGTAGGCACAAGATAATCCCATAATTTAATTGTTTAGATAATCGTTACTTAGTTAACGGGCTTCCGTTAATCAAGCGCTAATGATATTTGTTCTATAGTAAATAAATAAGATTTATGTAATTAAAATTGTGAATTGTTAAATGTTTCAGGTGTTTGCGATGTGGTACGCGTGGTTACTGCTGGTGTCGTGCGCCTTGGTGCAGGCAGAAATCGACGGGGAGACCGGGCCGGTGACAGAAAGAACTGGTCATGTTACGGAAGTAACTAGCCATGATTCAGATTTTACCGGTCCGGTAGGAGGCGTGACTGAAAGTGAACTGGAAGCAGTAAAGGGCCCCGAAGAACCTCGAAAAGAGCAAGACCCTGGTGCTTCACCGCAAAACGAAATCGGTGATATCAAAGAAGTGCCCAGCTCTTTCATAACAGCGACCGGAACAGTCACAGAGATTCCTCTACCGGTTGCTACGACTCGTACTCCTCCCCGTACACTCGACAGACAAGCTGCGGAACTCGCTTGGCGCTATTGGCTGCAAAGCCCGGAAAGCGGAAACCCGAATGGTCCAGCGAGACGAATTACAACCAAATCCCTGTTCATCACGCCTCTCGTTTGTCCAAAGGGTCAGAGATTAGACAGAAACGGCTGTGTTCAGGTAATTCAATATTTCATACCTTTAATAAAGTTTAAAGCTATAATTAATAGGATTAATAAACATATTACATATACAATTTGATAATCCACTTTTATTTAATTGTTATTTTACGTTTGATCAACAGACGCTGACGGTAAATAAGGACGAACATGAGAGAATTTTACTTGAACAATTAAACGCTTTGTTCATAAATTCTACGCCGTCCAACAACGCTGATGTTCTCTATGATTATGGAGAAGAAGAACCAGGTCCACTTCAGCTGACTATCCCCATAGGTCTAGATCCGCAAATACATCAGGTACAAACTAAGGCATTTTAATATTTGTCTATCTAATTCAAACCCATTCAGATATAACATTATTTTACTTTCTTAATGTTTTAAATGAAAATTTATTATTTTCAGAGCATTGATAAAAAAGGCGATAACGCAATGTTAAATGATGCTAGTATAGAAGCTGAGTTAGAGCTATTAAAATTGCAGCAAAATGCGCACCGAAACGAAACTACATCCGATACTTCAAATATTTTATCACACAATGTATTAAACTTATTAAACTATCCGGACAAACCGAAGCGTGACAGTCCAATGGAGAATTCAACTGAAACAGAAATACAAGACATACCTGATAAAGGACAAAAAGAAGAAGTTTTTGGACAAGTTAATGTAGATCCCGTTTTGTACGATACTAATAATCAAGATGAACAAATCGCTGACACAGAAAAGCCACTCACAGAAAAAGTAACCATTAAGAATAACGAAACATATCCTACATCACATGAAAACACCAATAAAATGAGTGATGAGTCTCTCACGAGAAAAGATGCTGCTAACACTAAACTTAATCCTGAAAATGATTACTCAGATATAGGTGAAGCAATTAGATTAATTAGCAGATACGCTGAAGTATCGACCGACGACAACTTTCCTAAAAGTAATAAGTTAAGGAACCCAGATGATAACATTTTGGGAACACGAACCAAAATGCAATATCGTCGCAACAAGCCAAAGTTATCAAACAATCAAAAGGACATGTCCTCAGTACTAGAGCCTCAAAATGTTGAAGAATCAAATGTAGGGGCGTCTCTTCGCGGCAGACCTGGTATATACTACAGATACCCGAATGATAACATTTCACCACCACCGAATTATCCATTTAAGCGATTACAAGATTATTGGCCGGGAAGAAATCAAATCGGCGGTGTTTATAATAATATGCATGAGAATCCCAAACGCCACCACCATTCTTATCCACATTATTTTCGTCCTCGTGGTTATCCCGTTCTCAATTATCCCGAAGTTCATTCTCGCATGTCCCCACTTTATCGATACCCAAACAAAGTACAACACAATACTAGTCCCGTACGATCTCACGACGGCCAGGACATATATAACCTCCTTGGTTTAAGGCATTGGTTTAGCAGCGAGGGTGCGACGAAAAGATAGCTTGCTTTCTATTCACAAGACAATTCGATGTTACCCGACGACGTATATTGGAAGCTATGGAACTAATGATAACTACATCCTACCCATGGACCAACAACCCAGTGTCATACCAAACCAGCAGTCTTCTGCATTCAGTATTGTTTTACAAAAAGAAAGCAGCTCGTGACGCATCGCATTTTAATTGGTTTATTGGCAGCTTTACTTTATTGTTTTTCACCATCGGCCACGTATTTTAATTTGGCGCTGCAATACCACATTGGTGTTTTGATCTTTAATGTTAGATCATTACTTCTGCACTGGTTGTTTGGTTCCGACTTCTCTCTATGCAACTCTTAGACATTTATATTACGATCTACCATTTTCATCATAGCTTTCGATATATTAACCTATTTATTTTAAAGCCAAATATTAAAGTCATAGCTATTTTTAAGATTTTAGAAAATTTAAGTTCTTGTAAATATCTTGAGCGTAGAAACATTTTACTTTGCTGCTGAATATTTAGTATTATCGTTGTTTTGTATTATGTAAATTGTTGTATTAATATTACTAATTTATTTTTATTTGGTGTAAATTTTTGTTGTTGTGAGTTATTATACTAGTAACTATAGGTAATGCAAAAATCACCAATAAACTGAACCTAAAGAGAAATATGGAGGACGTTTTGCCATACAATTTTAAGTAAAATGTTGATGACAGATGCTAAAGTTTTAAACTTTCTGAAAGATCCATACTCCTATACGATACGTGAATGTTTTTACGTCGCTGCTTGTCTCAATGCAAAAATAACGTGCAGATATTAAAAGCCTACAATAATCTTTTAGTGATAAAATATTCAAGTAGAAAGTTAGCTTCAAATAATCTTTTATGTAAAATAGCAGAAATAACTTTTTGCAAATAGGCAACACTAGTTATAAACGCAACGTATCTGTAGTTATATTTGAACTGAATAATTTCACGAGTCTGTCAGTATTTCTTATATGAAGTGAAAATGAATAACTTTTGCCGTACTAGGCATTATTCTCAGAAGACCTGTTTTCAACTTTAAACGATTATAAACATTTAAACGGCAGTTCTTAACGTACTTACTAAAATACCAACTACCTACCTAGCTATAATTATGGAATACGTTTTTAGCCTTTAAAATAAGTTGCGTACTTTATTGGAATGTCTTCTAATTAATAAAACTTGTAGAAACATCAGGCCCACCTAGGTACTTAATTAAGGCATGAGCATGACAAAGTGTATACTTATATTTAATCGACTATCGTATTATATGTATTACACTATTATCGTACTACTATGTTGGATTTCGCTTTAAACATAAAATAACATAAATTAATATTTATAACGTATCCTCTTTGTGAACGTGTACAAGGTGTTTTAAATCAAAATTTACTTATTGTCAAATAGCGAACCCTGCCCACACAATGATCCCACCAAAGTCTAGAATAAGAAATTAGATTTACATGTTTATCGAAGAGCAGTGTTAATAGGACAAATCATTATTATTTATGATTACAACCTTTTTTTTCCTAAGATAATCAATATTCTGGCGTAAGCAAAAAAGAAACAATCATATCTGAGTCACAAAATAGACACAGAACAATTATATATTCTTGCCACTTATTTCTTTTAGGTTGCAATCGATACAGAGTTTTTTTATTAATTACTAGATATATAGAACTGATCTAAAAAATTCTAAACAAAAAAACAACAGCAATAAGTAATAATAATGCTGCTATACTATATACACAATATATAACTGAAAATATATCATTATCAATTTAAAAAATCAGGAGCAACTTTTTATCCGTCATGTTCGCAAAATGCGTAGAAAAGATATCACCATTTATTACAATAATTAATCGAAAAACATTTGTGCTCTATTAAGACTTAGATAATCTTCGTATTAATTCAGGTAATGTAACTTCGAGATCTATTTTTATGGTAAATACAATCGATGTCAATGTATATGTTATTCAGATAAGATTAATTAGAATACCAGTGTCAGTAGATTTACCGCTATTGATGGAAAGAAATATGTTCTTTCTCATCGCAGTTAAATGGATCCCAACAAAGATTACGTTGCTGTTTTTAAAAAGTCGCCTGTTAATTGTTACTAGAAAATCTATACCCTTCTATCTTGTACATTAGTGTCTACAGAAATACCTTACCCTTCTTTTCCGTTAATAATAAGCTTTACTGTACAAACATGGAGTAGATCTAAGAATGTATTTTATTGTATGTGGAATATTGTTTTAAGGTATTTTACGGATTTGCGAATACTTATATCTGAATTATCATTGCCAGTATTTTATTGTAAATATGGATGTGTTATATTAAAATGATTGAAAGGAATGCATCGTTTTTTAATTTAGAGTATATATTATATTTATCTCCTCCGATCGCCCTCGTAAGTCGTAGCTTAATGGTGTCTGGTACTCAAATCCCAGGGAAAATTATAAATTTGTTTCGCTTGACCATGGAACACAAGTCTGATCAACTTACCTGTAAATAAAATCAATAAATGAAACGGTCACAGCATTGAGTTCGCCCCATGCCCCCGAGGGAAAGGAACTTTACTTAATGTGCATTACATTATTTTTAGTTTAGTACTTGTGTTTTAATTAAAAATCAATATATCAAGACCAACTGTCATGGCCAGTCTTCTCACTTAAAAGCCAGAAAATAATTGTATAATAAGTCAGCTTCTAAAATATGTGTTTGTTGTTATAGCCCTCCATAATTTTAATACATCACATATAGTGCACAGTCGACTCTTTCACTATATCGAATATTAAATAACATATGAATAATTCTACGGTATGATTAAAGACATAAACGTCTACATTTGACATTTTATTGAAAAAAAACAATTTTTAATAACAGATAATGGATAATCTACATGTATCAATACAAATATTGTTCATAAAGAATCCTGTTCTTGCACACACTATACAATATTAAAAATAGGTAACTCATTATAAACAAGAGAACATCAAATAATAATAATCCATAAAAACTTACATATTTGCATATCATTTGTACATTAGTATATCACAATGCATAGATCTAACTTCACATACTTTAAAGTTTTATTTGGTGATGTCCAAATGTTCATTTACACAATTCATAAGTCATCATTTTAAAATTAGGCAATATATTAAGAGATCTAAAACAATTGATTTACAAAAAAAGTATATGCAAGTACAGGTCATAACTTTGTTCATGATTTTGACTTTTTAATTACTAGGTCAATAGCAAATCTACAGGTGATGTCTTATGTCATTTTTATTTTTTCTAAGCAGGTTCTTAAGTAAACTTTAAAGAACATTTAAGTACTTTTTGAATATCCATCCAAATATCAATATTTCTCTCTGATGTTTCATCTAAACTCGTATATTTGAATACTGTGTTCTGGAACATGGCTCAGCGTCAAGGATTGAAACCTGAAAGTTTTAAACATTAATTGTAATAAACTCCACATCATTTGAATAAATATTGTAAGTTTATTGTAATTAGTTTCACTTAACTTAATTTTATTGTAATCTTAAATTTGCCAGTGATAACTTATTAAACCAATAACATTGTCAGGTTCTTAGTTAAGCTAAGAATAATCAGTTACAATGACACAATATAAATATTTTCCTTATTTATCAATTACATTTTAATTAATTTCCTTTATTACACAGTAAAGTTATTAAAACTGAAGTTTAACAGACAGCCTTAAAGCTATCAAGAAATCTCTTCCAAACAATTAACAACTTAAAAAAAAAACTAAATAAAAACTATTTCTATTATCTTGTTAATACTTAACAAGACAAATAGTTAATGAATACAAAAGGACTAATGACCCTAATAGAATACATTGAACTCCAAAGATAAAACTTACCATTCTGAACTTCTGTGATAATAGTAACCCTCAATAGTTGCCTCAGATTTATGAAAACATATATAATAGAAACCAGCAAACGAAGCACCATTTATATCTTTAATTGTATGATCTGGCACTAAGAAATGCTCCTTCCATCGCATATATACATAGTCAGCCTTTGCTAAAGATTCATAATCAAATGAATCAGAGTTGAATGTCTTTAAATATGGTAGAAATAGTTGAAACTTGCTCTGAAATAAAATGTTTAATACATAAGGGATGCATTTTTGCTATTCAGTATGGAGTTGATGTGCTTTACTACTTATTTAAATATAAACCTGATGGAGAATAAAAAATCTTACCCAATGTTTTCGGTCAACATCCTCATCAGCGTCCCATTTCCGCGTTAAAAATGGGTATTTGGCTGAAATTATTTCACCATCAAAAAATGTTGTCAGTGTTGGAAATTCTTCTGTTAAACCCTTAATCTTTAAGTATCCACAAAGATAGGAATTCTCCTCATCAACATGCTGAAATATAAACAATAATTAGAATACTACAAATAAAAAGCAATAGGATTTATTTTCTTAAAATAAAATCTGCCATGAGGTAAAAGTAAAACTTTTGCGTATTTAGAACTAACCTGTAATACTACCTCAACTTCATATGAATTCCCTTTTGATTTTTGGTGCCCTTGAAACTTGGAACCGTTATATAGCAGGGATTTAGTCACGCCAGGCTGTTTGGAGTTAGCTGGAGGCGGTGGGGTTATATCAACCTTAACAGGCATTATTTTCCATTAAAATTATGACCCAGCTTTCTCTGTTTAATATGTTCTCAATGTAATGTTATTGACAAATCTATTGAGTAGTTGATTACTGTTAAGTGTTGACTCGGCTATTCTACGCAACGCTCAGACAAAGTTTGCGTTCGTCAAAATGACAGCTTCTTCCAGAATTTTCCTAGTAATAGGAGCAATAAATTATGAAATGAAATTTGTAATCGTCACATAATATGTAAGTGATTTGTTTATTGTATAAATCTTAGAGTAATATTATAGTATTAAATGTTCAATAAATTCTTCGAGAATGCAGAAAATGAAAGCGTAATACAATAAAAAAATGAAGAACCATGTTATTTTGGTTACACACTGCACAGATGTTAGACTGTTAAACCTTTTATATGTCTGTAATAAAGACAGACTAAGTGAGCGTAGCAATAATAGTATAAGCTTATTAATTTTCAAAGTATATATTTTAATAGCAAGTAGAAAAAAAATATTCATTCCCAACTTTATACACGATTAACATATTAACAATTATTATTGGATTATATTTTCTATTAACTTCACAGATAAAAATAAGCCCAGTGACCTATATATAAATGCGTTCGTTCGAATTCGATGTATTCGTATCTCCTGTGGTTTGAAGGGCAATTTGGCTAGCGGCAACACTATGAATTTATGAAGAAGAATAATTATCTCGTTGGTTTCGTTGACCGACCAACTTGTTTATATTTTGTAGTTAAATTTAAGTATTTTTTAATTTATGTAATATTTTTATAATGATTTGTTATAGTAACTCAAAATGTATTCGTGGTGTTATGCGTCATATCATGCTTAAAGAATTGTGATCAATAAGCAATAATAGTGATATTGTATCGCATAATAATTATGGTTTACTGACGTTAGACAGTGCATCCTCAATTATGGCAGACCCAGGTTATTACCACAGTGATTATATTCGTCACCCAGTCCTTTATGAACTGGGTGTCAAGTATGGAATTAAGACGGAATGTATTCCAGAAATAGCATTGCCGTCTAAGTTGGAAGAACTCAAGGATGTTATACGTAGGGAAATACGTAAAGAGTTGAAAATAAAGGAAGGTGCAGAGAAATTGCGTGAAGTTGCTACAGACCGAAGATCACTCTCCAATATATCAAATCTTGTAAAACAAGCTAATATTAAGTTAAATGAGTTAAAAGCTGACCTACAAGAGTTAGAATCCCAATTGTTGCTGTCACGCGGTCAGTCAACACCAACGTCTCCTGAAGACCTATCCTATGATGAAGAAATCATTTTGGCTTCAGAAGCAGCACAGCAGCAGCGCCAGCTCGGCGAAGGTACCACTGATCGCAAACTTGCTTCACTTGAAAAACAGCTGAATATTGAACTTAAAGTTAAGCAGGGAGCAGAGAACATGATACAGAGCATAACTAGCAGCAACCAGTCCAGAGACAAAAAATTGCTTGCTGAAGCTCACCAAATGCTTGCAGATTCTAAAGCTAAAATAGAATATCTCAAACTAAGGATATCTAAAATTTCTAAACAACAAAAAGGAGATATTGCAGGGGCTAACGGTGATGGCAGAAACACGGATAATATAAGTGGAGTTGATCCTCTACTTGATGAAAGAATTGCTGAGTTGAGAAATCGTCTGCGTATAGAAGCCGCTGTTGTAGAAGGATCTAAAAATGCCATACGACTCTTACAGAGTGATAAAAAAGTTACTGATAAGAAAGCTTTACATGAAGCTCAAACTAACTTGTTAGAGTCAACCCAGAAGTTGGATTTATTACGTAGATCATTAGATATGCGTCGCCAGGAATTGCCAGCAGAGAGTGCAGCATTCATAGAACTAGGACATGAATTACGAAGCACAGGATCCAGTCCAGGATATGTTAGTTTGTCTGGTGCAACAAATGCCAGACCACCATTTATTTCACCAGCTCCATTAATTAGCCCCTGTGTACAAGTCACTGGGACCTTAGAGGTCAGGCTAATGGGATGTCAAGATTTACTTGAAGATGTGCCAGGACGCAGTCGTAGAGATCCCTTGGCTAGTCCCTCAGATCTGAAGTCTTTTGTAAAAGGGGTTGCAATTCGAAACTCAATGAAATATACATACAGCATCAAGGAAGATACAAGCAATGAAATTATGGCAGTGATGAAACTTGATAATCACACTGTTGCTCAGACAAGTTGGCGTCCATGCTCGCAACAAGCCTGGGATCAGAGGTATTGTTTTTTTCTTTTTAGCTGTAGCATTAGAAAGTTAAACATTTGTAAGAGGTTTAGAATACACATAATGTAATTGGATTATTAGGTCCTAGGCACTCTATATAACACAATATAGAAGTGCAACGTCGTGTCATGCAGTATTAAATTACTTACATAAACATACTATTTTTACATAGCATGTTAAGCTTGAGTAAATTCATATATTTTACTGGCTACAACCAATAAGGACCCTTAACAACATTATCAATTTCCTTGAAATATAATCTTTATAATTTCTTATACATTATGATTACTCAGGGTATCTTATCTATAGGCTAAGTTCACATATTTGTTGTGTGAATAAGGTCTCACACACTAACATGTTTACTATGCATGTAACTCACCTTAACATAAATATTTTTAGTATAATAAAAACTACTTTCCAATTTTAAAGAAAACAACAAAATATATGTTTATAAAAATCTGTACCTTCAAAGTCAATTCCCAATGATAAATCAAAATCTTTATCCTTAGATTCACAATTAAGCTGGATAAATCCAGGGAGCTCGAAATTGGAATACATTGGAAAGATTGGCGTGGTCTATGTGCTGTAAAATTCCTTAGACTAGAAGAATTCATTGATGATATTAGACATGGAATGGCCTTGGAGTTGGAACCTCAGGGCTTATTATTTGCAGAGATTAAATTTTTAAATCCTATAATATCTAGGAAACCAAAACTTCAGCGTCAGAGAAAAATCTTTAAACAGCAAGGCAAAAATATTCCACGAACTTCTCACGGCGAAATGCATATACCGGCTGTTGTGTTAGGTAGGTTGTTGAAGCGTTCGTCTCCATCAGTACAAAATATACAGAACGCACTCAATCAATCTCAGCAACATAACTTCGAGATACATGACAATAAAGATTTTGAAACTACCAATGCTACTTTTACGGGCATGGCTGGTGTGAGACCGTTAGGTCTACCATCGACACCCTCAATACCACAAGTGCCTGTTATACCACCACCTAAACCGACTCTGCCTTTACAACCTCCTCCAAATGTATCTACACTTCGAATGGAAAAAGAGTTGCAAGAAGCTTTTGCATTTTTGGAAGATTCTTACACTAGAGATAACTATATTTCTAAAGACCCACAGTCTTCGGCTTGTAATACTCCATTAGTAGAATACCCTCCATCTCCATCACCTAAGTTGGTATTAGAATACCCGAGTAGTGAGGACCAAATTGTTGAAATAACAAGTAATATGCGTTTGTCATCATCGCGATCATCGTCTGTTATTGAAACACTAAGTAAAGAAACTGACTCCAGAAGGCAGTCAGGTGAAATGTCAATGAACAGCTTCAGACTACTGAGTGTTCTGGGTAGGGGACACTTTGGTAAAGTTATATTAGCTCAGTACAAACCAACCAATGAATATTTTGCCATTAAAGCTTTAAAAAAAGGAGATATTATTGCCAGAGATGAAGTTGATTCACTGTTATCAGAAAAGCGTATTTTCGAAGTAGCTAACGCTATTCGGCATCCTTTCCTAGTTAACCTGTTTGCGTGCTTTCAAACTGAACAACATGTCTGTTTCGTTATGGAGTATGCAGCTGGTGGCGACCTTATGATGCACATACATGCAGATGTATTTACAGAACCCAGAGCAGTATTCTATGCAGCTTGTGTAGTATTAGGCCTACAGTATTTACACGAAAACAATATTATCTATAGGGATTTGAAATTGGACAATCTACTACTTGATACAGAAGGCTACGTAAAAATAGCTGACTTTGGACTATGCAAGGAAGGAATGGGCTGGGGCGATCGTACTGGCACTTTTTGTGGCACTCCCGAGTTTCTTGCCCCTGAAGTTCTGACAGAGACATCATATACGAGAGCAGTGGATTGGTGGGGTCTTGGTGTTCTCATTTTCGAAATGTTGGTTGGTGAATCACCATTCCCTGGTGAAGATGAAGGAGAAGTATTTGATTCTATTGTGAATGACGAAGTACGTTACCCTAGGACTTTATCTTTAGAATCGATTGCTCTTATGCGTCGTTTATTAAGGAAAAATCCGGAAAGGCGCTTAGGATCCTCTGAACGTGATGCTGAAGATGTAAAGAAACAAGCTTTCTTCAGGAATGTTGATTGGGAACAGTTACTTTTGCGAAAAGTAAAACCGCCGTTTGTGCCAACGATAAATAATTTAGAAGATGTCAGTAATTTTGATAGTGAGTTCACATCCGAAGCAGCTGTTCTCACTCCTCCCAAAGAACCGAGACCTTTAAGTACCACTGACCATAAACTGTTCTCCGACTTCACATACATGGCAGACTGGTGCTAGGCAGCTACTAATTATTAAGATTGAAAAGTTGTTAGATTAATTCTTAATAAAATACAATAAACCCCATTGCCTTAACTAATCTGAGTGAAAAACTCTATTTTGATATATCTAATCTATCAAGAGGGTATCTTAGAAGATACTTAATTGTTGACTTGTATTTAATGCAGTTAAATGCAATATTTTATGAATTGTGTAAGTTAAATAAGTTTTAAATAGTAAAAACCTTTATTTTTTTAAAAGCATCATACATAATATTATAATGTAGTTATTATAGTTGATTAACCTGAAAATAACTCTTAAGAATGTGTGTCAAATCATTACAACATCAGTCAATTCTTTACTTTAATCAATGAAATAAAGTTATCAGCAATAAAACAGTTTCTTATTTTGCACTTGGCTTATATGCTACATTAATATATTAAATTTAAAACTTTTTACGTATGATCATCTACATCCTATCTTGAGGCACTTGTTTGATTAATTTAAAATCATTTTACTATGTAGACAGTTTATTCTTACATTATGCTCAAGTATTAATAAGTACATTTATATGTATGTATAGTTCTACTACATAGCATAGGCAGTGACCTTTACAACATCTTTATAGTAAAAATTAAGAACAATATTTTACAAATATTTTGGGATATTAATATAAACATATTTTTCTTTTTAATAACAATCACATTTTATTTAAAGAAGAGCTTGTCAATGAAGATTAAGTATATAATAAACACACACACAATAAAATGAAGACAAGAAACTTTTAACATAGTAAATCTAGAAATATTATATGTATTTGAGTATTTGGCCAATATATTTCTGTTTGAGAAGACAATATCATACACCATTTAAGTAGTAAATAACTTAAAACTTTTATGTTAACAAAATGTTCAACTTATGCTACACTGAACTTATAATAATTAAAACACTTTCACAAACATCATGCAACTTATGTACAACACTTCATATACGATAAGTCTTAAACATCACCAGCAGTATTGCTTTTGATAATTTCAAATTCTTGAGCCTTTTTGCTGAAGGACCATTGCACGATCTGTGGGTTCTATATCATTACTATTGGGATTATTGCCACATTCTCTACTGACAACACACAAAAATTCAGCATGATCTTCACTTCCATAGTTATATTGAGATCCAATATTAATCAATTGTTCAAATTTCCAACCATCAGACATAGAAGAAACCATCTGTGTTAACTCTTCTTCATGGAATTGTAATACTCTGTAAACATGATTTTTGGAATCTTTGGATGGACCCGTTTCTCTCTGGGAAATTCTTTCTTTTACTAATTTTATAAGCTCTGTTATATTATAAAACTCAGCTTCCTCTAAAACTCCTTCTTCAGCAATGTCATTGTTAATGACCAACTTTCCATGTCGTAGATAATTCAAAACAGGCGAAAAATATGTTGGGTCTCTGTCAATAAGGTAGGCTCCAGTTTCATCCTGGAATAGAATTTATAGGACGTTACAAAGTTATTAATTAATTAAAACATCACTTTGGTTACTAAAACTAACCCTATCTGATATTAAGTCACTGTCTTCTTGTACTAATCGATACAAAAACGAGTTAGTGTCTCTAGACAAAGTAGTTTTTGTTGTTAAAAAATATGTACCACCAACATTAAGTTTGACCCACTGTTTACTACTACGTCTTTCATTGTTGTATCTTTGTATATTTTCGTTACTGTTAGTAAAACCACCGCCACCTACGTGACCAGCCATGGTTATTAAACTATAAACAACAGAGCTAAATCCAAAATAAGCAACATTGGTTTTGAAAACTCAGTCAAAACTACAGACTAATTAAATTTTTCGAGAAATTGACAGACATATTATTATAATTTGTCTATATAAAAATCTCTTAAAAACAATCGTTATCCAGTAAATAGCTATCCACTTTACTTCCCAAAGAATATCGCATCGTTTTGAAACAGATTATCTTTAATTCACTTGGAATTCGTTCCCGCCAAGAATCCATAAGCAAAGCATTAAAATGCTAATGACACTAGCAACGTTCACAGACAATAGAGTCAATTGTCATTGCACCTATCACTTCTTAGCATTTTGCGTTTGGAATTTAATCAATTTGGAAAGTACAATAACTTTATTGGTAGTACATAATTAAAATAACAAAAGTTTCTGAGATTTCATGGTAAAGAACACTTCGTTTGATTAAATGCTACTAATTGTTTTATAGCCATGTAACTCTCTCAAGTAATGTACCATTATGAGTAATCTCGAAAATGATCGGTCAGTCACAACTGGAAAAATGTATCCAATTGATTTAGCCCCTCAAAAAATAACTATAGTAAAGAGTATTTCTAATTCGGACGTTAAAATGGCACATTTAATACCGGGTCAAGCTAAAACTTCGGGGTCCAGTCAAATTATTGCTCACTCCAATGCAGCACCAGTTAGTTTAATGCGCACAGCTTCTGGCGCCCAAATAATATCTTCAGGTGTGGCTTCTCAGGTAAATAATTTTATAATAGTATTACGCAAGTTTATTAATGAATTTCATTTCGATATCTCATTGTATTAATAACTACAAATTCATAACAATAATAGCATGCCATATTGCACTATTATCATTACCATAATGCATTTGCCACAATGCCCTCAAATTCCTTTTTTACCTGCACATGTCTTATTTTTAAATTAGCTATGCTTCTGTTTTGCTTTTTTTATGCACTACAAAAATCACTACAGTGTTACTTAGAGCATTAGACTAGCCAAAAAATAAAAATAATTGCTGTTGTAATTTGTTTTTTTTTTTTTTCATTTTTAAGTTGCTCAGGTGTCATTTTTTATGCTTAAATAGCATAAATTTGTTAGGAGTGTACATTGAATATTGTGTAAGAATTAGGTATGGAGATGAAATATTTACTATATAACTTGTATTGAAATCATATTAAAAATTATTTTCAGGGTACACACATTGTTAGCCAGGGAAGCCAAACAATTGGTCAAAATGCGCAAATATTGACTCAGTCTCAGCTAATATCAAACAGTCATTTATTGAGCCCTTGTACACAGATAATTAGTCAGGGTACTCAATTGACTGCACAGATATCGAACCCAAGCAACTTAAATAATACACAGACAAATGTGACATCAACTGTAAGTGGGGGCCAGGTTCTGAATGTAGGCAGTCAACTTGTGAGCGGAACTAGCAGCTTGGTGGTTAGCTCATCTGTGCGCACACTGGGTGGACCTAGTGTCAGAGTGCTACCTCCTATGTCACATAGCACCAGACCAGGTAAAAATAATTACTATTTTGCATATTGTTAATCTGTCAATTTTTTATGTTATAATGTGATGTGTGTAAAAAATGATGAGAATGAACATGAACATGAAGAATGAGATGTACAAGAATTGAAGTACACCTGCCTAGAAGTTTTCAAATTATGTATATCCACATCCTCATCCACAGATGAAAGAATGCATTCTCTGTATTTCAGTTTTAAGCAGCGTAAACGCAAGCACTGCTAGTAGTGTTCTTGTTACTAAAGGAGTAACTAGCCATGTACCTAGAGGCCTAGCTGCTGGTGCTTCCCTTGCAGTTAGACCTGTTGCTGCTTCAGCACAAGCCCCAGTCAGTCAAGGTAAGTGTAAAATAGCTTACATATCCACTCTAAATATTTTTAGTTCATCATTAGCATATTATTGCATATGAGAGTATCTATAGAATAAAGAAGTATTTAAAAGACAAGATAGATTGAATCCATGCACTAACCTGTGCTGACTAAGACTCACAAGAAACACAGTACTGAGCCAATGATCTGCCACTAAAGTCAATCTGAGAACAGGTAGTGGTGGTTGCGTTCAATATAAATTATAACAATTAAAAAAACATGCTTAAAGCTGATTTTGATTTAAATAGAATAATAATATCTAATATAAATCTATCTTTACTAATATATAAAGCTGAAGAGTTTGTTTGTTTGTTTGAACGCGCTAATCTTAGTAGCGTACTACTGAGATTAGCGTGTTCAAACGTAATTCGAATTGTAAAATTATTTTTGTGTTGGTTAGAGCATTTATTGAGGAACGCTATAGGCTATAAAACATCGCCCTGTGACTAATACAAGCGAAGATCCAGCGAGAAATGTGAAATATTTTGGGTTTCAGAGACGTATGCTGCAAAAACGAGATACCCAAAAAATGTGTATGGAAGAATGATTTCTCTTTAGATGATTTAAAAAAAGCCCGCGATGCTATAAGATCTTTTAAGATTAACTTGCAAGTCGTCTCGATATAGATGAAGGGATTTGCAAAAACAAATTTGGATGCCCAAAATAACAATTCTCGCGGACGAAGTCACTGACACAGCGAGTATTTAATATGACTGTTTTAAAAAAATTACACACATAATATGTCCAGTAAAATGCCAATGAAAAGTCTAGATGGCTGATTTTAATCAAACTAGTATGTCTATTTTATATTTAACAAAGTTTTTATGAAATATAGGAATATGATCTAATATGACCAAAGTTACATTTTTATAAATTTTAATAATCTAAGTGACATTCAACAGGCAGCACCTGGTCTGGGAACAATCGCGGGCGCGGTGGACTAGTGTACGGGTCTAGGGGATTGAGTCGTGGCGCACCTCCCCGACAACCTTCACCGGCGCCTTCGCCGCAGCCTCAAACTCTCCAGTCCCCACACTCAGCTATTGTCACATTACCAACAAGTACAGTACTGACATGTAAGTATTAATTCACAAAGTAAAAGTAAAAAACCCCTTTGTGTTATTAAGTTCCAATCTATTCCCCTGTTTTCTCAGACAAATGCAAAGCACATTACTCTAAGAAAGCATAGGAAAATGAAAATTACAATTTACAAAAACAAAAGACTAACAAACATTGGTTCATTGTTTTATTATAACAGCAAGCAGTGTAATATCAAGTACAGTTCGTGGCACAAGTACAGTAGGTGTTGTGAGCACCACAACCAGGCCAAAAACTCCAACTCCACCTCCCCCAGCACCAAGGCCTTTACCACTTCTGCAACGAAACTATCAGCCAGCTAAGGTAAATAAGTTATCTTTTTTAACATAGGTAAGGTGTTACAGTTGGCAAGTATAGCTAGTAATATTAAATTTAATAATGAAGTAAAAAAATATTATTATGCCATTTAATGACCATTTCACCCATTTCCCTATTCCCCCCTCTGCCTGAGGTAAAAAGAAACTACTTTTTCATTTCTTAGTTTGGAAGCAGAAATACATCATAAGAATAATAGAGTCCATTCCATTATACCATTTGAGTATGGGGCAATAAAATTGTTGCTTTTCAACCATAGGTGGTTGGCGTAGCTAACGTCGGAGTCAGAGGAGTGGGTAACAGTGCACCACCACAGTTGTACTACGAAGTGCCGCGCGCGGCTCAACCTCATCACCACGCGCCCAGGCCTCTTACATCATTCACTCATGCTCTCAACACTCAAGGTACAACAAGAAAATATAACACATAGACTTGTATATACTATTTCTAGTCTGGTCAATTTGCTTGTTAGTATTATATAAGAAATAATATCTATGGATTATTAAATTAAACTATTATCACTTATTAAATTGTAGGAAATGCAGTAAGTGCGATCTCAACAACCGCTGAGGTGCGACAAGTGACTAGCACTATCAGCAGTACGCCTGTCCTGCCTAGACCCTCTATTCTCAGAAAACGCGACGTCGACGGGTGAGTTATTCAATTGAATAAAAGATAGAGAGTTAACTGTATTATAAAATTCATTTAATGGTTTAGAGGACAAGTTCTGTAATTACCACATAGCATTCAGCCCTCCCATGAGGACCAGAAACGAGCCGTATGATTTATGGTATTCATTTTTATTTTTCAGCTCTCCATCAAAGAATCAGGCAAACACAATACCAACTATATCAACATTAGGTATTAGCAACGTCAGCAATTTGACTTCAGCAAATATTGCCAGTCTCAGTGGCAACAATTCAAATAATCTGAACAATATAGCAACATTGAGCAGTATTAGCAATATCGGGAGTGTAGTTCATGTGGGAAATATGAATAACTTAAGCAATGTTAGCTTGAATTCTGTGAGTTTAAGCAATGCAATTGGGCGTGTTACTAATTTAGGTAATATAAGTGGTATAAATAATTTGAGCAGTCTAGAAAGTGTGGGTGTGGTCACAGTGAATAATATAAACAATATAGCGGTGAACAATATGGGAAACAGTGATGGACTAATAACAGTGTTAGCGGCAATATCCACATGGGTCAATTTGTGGGGACTACGGGCTGGGAGGATGTGACCAGTAGTCAGGGACCTGGTAGTGGTTCTACCACCATGTCGGCAGCGTCCTCTCCCACACCAGATGTTGAACCAGAGCCTCCCAGGCAAACTGATGTCTCGCCCAGAAAAAAGCCACGGAAACAGTTGTAAGTAACATGAAAATTTAAAAATAATAAGATTCAGTTAAGATAATACAGTAATAATATTTCCAAAAAAATTTCTTATAAGGATAAATTGAGATAATGTAACAATTTGGGAACAGGTTAACTAGTGAAGTGCGGCAATATGACTTTATCGCAGATGAAAAAGTACCGACGCCACCGCCCCCCGCACCTGTTATACCTAAACGTGAGTTGTTTTGATCCAAAGAAATTCAGCAAGTGAATCCCATTCTCGTGTGTCCACAGTGACAGTACCATGAATAATTAATTCAACAGGTCCATCCCTGAGCTCAACGTACGTCTGCGGTTGGCGCAGTACCGCGCTTCACTTTACTCGACCGTCGGACGTCAAGCGGCGCGAGACTCGAGCGCGAGATATTGTAGCCATTGCCACTCAGAAACACGTTCTTGTCTCCGCAGAAGGTTGGAAGGTGCATCACTTGACCGCCCAAATGGATGACTTGGTAACAGCTTTAATTTTTATGTAACTCATTAAAGATTTAATTATTATTATTACTATTGCTACTCAACAGTAACATTTGTCCACAGGTGTCTTTAGAAGCAGACGTGAGCGAACAGCTGGAAGGGGTGCATCGGTTGCTTGAGACAAGTAGAGCACACAACGCGCTTAAACCGGTCTCACATTCTCTTCTCGAACTTATTAAGGTAATATATTGTCTACAATAAGAAGCAATCTTTGTTTTTATCTATAAAATAATTTCTATATCTTTATTTTCTAGACACCGTTTACCATTACACAGATATTTTGTGTTTGGCACTCCATTAGTTACATTTCCCTATTTGTATGATGCAATTTTAGGAGCCTCTAATAATTTCTAAATGCTCTTCTTAACAGGGTAACATACAAAGGAGTAAAATAGTCTGTGAGGGGATCCAAGAGGCTCGCGAAGACATACTACGCGTGTTCAAACACAGAAACTTCGTCTCGGATATACTCACGCGACAAGCTGATAAGCGCTGCTTCAGAAAACACAGATCGCAATCATAGCATAATCTTAAAAACTCTAAAATTACTTCAGACAAAGTGACAATTACTTGCAATCACTAAACTTATAATATGTACCTATTCATAATTCTAAAACCAGAGACTATGTTATCAACTTTAAGTGCACTCTTTTCAGGCTATGTTGTAGAATATAGATTAATACAAAAATTGTGCAACCACCACCATACAACATGGACACTACTGTTCTAAATATGTATATATTAGTAGGTTACGATTGGCGCGCTATGAGCTATATACTATATTATTATAACGTAGTCTGAAAGTGCCTCAAGTAACTAATACATTTAATTTTTAATAATAGTAGTTAAACCTGTTTTATAAGATAATATGCTCTATACCTATGTACATTAAACTTACTTTTAGAGTTGTGATTGATCTGATATTAGAATTTGTAAATACTTGTGTCAAATTACCCGAATTTTGACTTACTATAAGATTCCTTTTGATTTGATTGCTTGGAATTGTACTATGACGTCCTCATTTTATGCATAAGATTAAAATATAGTGTAATATATGAAAAGTAGTTTTAATGCATTTAGCCTAGATAAAAATAACCTTTGGAAAGCATTGATTTTTTCCTTTTCCAACCAAATTTCTCTCTATTAGGTGTAAATGATATGATGAGTGACTCACGACCTACGAAACTTGCAACAAAATTTATAAAATGCTGATTACTATTTTCCTACCGTTCGAATGACTATTGGTAGGTATTTGCTTCAATGTGCTTTTCAACATGACGGTTCACGGTACAGTAGTACATGATTTTATCTTGTAGTAAATATTGTATTTATTTGGTGATTATATTATTAACCCCTATATTATTAATCCTGGCCTCAAAATAATTTATTATTTATCAAAAAAGTTGCATAAGTACATTAATTTATACTCTGCTTCTTTCTCTCTCTCAGCTTTTGACATCTGTCAGATGGCAAAAAAAGAAAGAATCAAAATTTGTTCTTATAATATCTTTTTATCATTATAATTAATAAAAACCATAATAAATTTAATTAATTTGTACATAGCGAATTAATTTATATTATACAAAATGGCAACAAGTCGGCTTGAAAGGATTGGCACAATTTTTACCAGGTACTTAATTTACAAACGTTCAATTTATAATTCTATTTTTAAAATGTTAAATATTTAAACATAAAAAAGCGGGAAAATATAATACCGCCATTCGGTCCGCGTCCCTGTTTACTGTTTGTCCTTTTGCGTGTGAAACTTCTGAAAAAAAAGCACTTTAAAAAAGGGTTACCTCTCCTATAAATAATTAAAAACATGAGTTCTATTAAAAAAAACATGAAATCAGAATATGTATTTGGTGAAATTGATGAATTTCCGAATGAGTCCATTTTCCCAAAAAAATCTGTAAAAACTAAGGGATCACTGAAGAGTCTCAGTCACAAAACTTCCTCTGAAATGTCTGCTAACCCAAAAAGAAGTAAAACTCAAGAAACAGAAAAATATGCTGAACCTCGACAAAAGATACTCAATATAATGAATCACCAATTGATGTCAAGGTAATGTAATACGGTCAATATTTATACCATTTATTGTATGAAAAAGACAAAACAACAATACATTTTTGCAGGAAACAAATAACTGAAAATGTGAAAACACATTTAAATGAAGTCTTTCTTAATCTGGAGGCAGACTACAACGCCCTGAAGGAAAATGAACAGAAATTGGAACATCTCACTAGTTCTTTTATAAAATGCATGCAACAGGCAACTGCAGCATTTAAGCAAAAGTTAAACACTCTGGAGGAAATCATACAAAATTTTACAAAAGAGTACATAATGAGTTTTATTCATGTTTATAATCCATTCTGTTCATTTTGTAATTTATTTATTTTTCTAGGACTGATGAAATGGAAGTAAAGCAAAAGGCAGAGATACATCTAATTGGAAGTGAATTAGAGGAAGATATGAACCAAATTAAAGAAAATTTAATTGCAGAAACCAAAAGAAATGGCTGGGAAAAATTACAAAAATCATTTTTGCAGACCATGCATAATGATTTCAATTTTTGATTTCCTTATAATAGTTTTCAGTTTCATTTATCATTATATGTTCTTTCTTTCTTATACAATTAATTAAATACAAAATAATTTGCCTCATTTTCTCCTTTTAGATAGATAAACAAATGCCTATTTGTACCAAATATTTCATAATAAAACAATTTGCTACATAATATTTTGTTTTTTATTTGTAATTATAAGACATAAGATAATATCCTTTGTTCTCTTAATTGACAAAGATGTTCTCCTGCAAAAGGACTATTATTTTAAAATTAATAGATAGTTCAATAGATTTTACTTATGACTACTTATGTATAATATTTTTTTTCTGCTAAGAGCTAGAAAAATTAGTGATTTATTCTTAATGTTATATTTTGCAGAGCCGAAGGTCTTCTAAAACGAGGAGCTGTGAAACCTGATGATAGACCAATTTGGTTTGATGTTTACCGTGCTTTTCCACCAATAACAGAACCTAAATTTGCAAGACCAAAACCTGAATCTAAGCCTGTAAGACAAATACTGTATAAAGAAGATGTAGTTAGAGCGTAAGTAGATATATTATTGTAATTTAAACCTGAGCATATTTGGTAAGCATGTGTTTTATGGATGTGTTTGATTTTGTTGGGAAGTCACAGATTTAAACTAAAAGAAAATTGTTTAACTAAAACTATGCCTACCTCTATATATACTGACACGTCGAGATCCTACATTTTTGAATAAATTAATATTTCATTAAAAAAAACTCTTCTTTATTAATCGCCTGCGTGTTGTCAACGTAGTTTATATCATGAAATAATTAGATAAATAATCAAATTCTTTTTTTTTCTAGAAAATTCCACGCTCAAGGACATGGGATAGGTTTTAACATGCTGAGTCCTTATGGTGAAACTCAAACCAAGAGATTAATTATGAAATATGAGCAATTGCAACAGGAAGGTGTACCAGAATCAGAGATAGTGGAAAAGTCCGTTGCGTCCGTGGTCAGTGAACGGGAGCCGGATAGTACTCGAATCAAAACTATAAATCCTGAATCCGCCACCGCTCAAGTTTTATCTGAAGTCAACATAAAACATATTTTTAAAGAATAAGCCAAATTATTCTAATATATAGTGAATAATGTAAAAAATATACCAAGTTTAGAACATTATTGTTTTTTTTAAGCAGAAGGTTATTGCAAAAGCTAGTTTTAGTATTAACTTTACTTTATTAGGTATAAGAGTTTCGAGTTTTAAAAACCCAGAAGAATTATTTTTTTAGTAGTAACAAAGACTTGCTGATTTTTAAAATACTTATTTTAACCCCGTAGTAGGTACATTACAAATATAATAGGCTAATGATAAATGCGGGGAATCGAATCGAAAAAATCTCGGGGAACTCCAAGTTATTAAATAAAAATATTTTAAGTTTTCAATATTCGTCACGTCATTTCACATGATGGCATCATATAAATTAAAAATTTATTAAGATTATCTTTGACGAAACGCTGTTGATGCTGGCTTAAGTCCCACTCTGTCGTATTTTTTTCTTTCAATGTAAATAGATTTTGAATTTAAGGAATATTATTCCGATTTATAATATTTTGTTGTTCATCAGATTAGACAGCAGAATCCCCAATATGCTCATTCTACAATATTTAATGTGATTCATGCAAGATACGTATTAACAATATCGTAAGTAACGTAGTGTTCAACCTAGTTCATATTTCTTATCTACTATCACTATCTTATCTGATGATAAGGTTGAGTTATACAGAACAGAACTTACTCACCGATTCGCTATTGAAAACGTATAGACAATTAAAAAAAGAACAGTGAAAATGGCACAAAAGAGGTCTTTGTTGTTTTATGTAGCCGTTGTTTTTGGTAAGTTCAATACCTTTAATTATTTTATATAGTGCTTTCGTCGACGTTAAAACGTCCAATACCCAGGTGGTCAAGGTTTTGCGTGATAAGGGGACGTGCAGAGCATATTGTTTTTGAGTTCTATACCCTAAAACTGTTCAGATGTATACTATCCCCTGATCAGTATGTACAACGAAAAGGTTCTTGCAGTCTTCGTATTTGTTTTTCAGTAATTCTAAGCGCTTTGAGTCATGAAGTGGAGGCCAGGAGAAAAATTTTGCGCGGAAGGAGGGTAATGACTCGTACATACTATCGTAAGTCTCCAATCATATACTAGATGGCTATGTTTACATGATTAGATTCTTCTTTAAACTTTGTATTATGAATAGATGGCAACTCTGTACCGGCTTGGGCGATCAGTTTTATGGCTGGCATAGGAATGCTGGTAGCCGGGGGCGTGTTGTATGGCATAATGAGGAAGCTTGTACTGTCTGCCGAGTCGGGTTCTCTAAACACATACCAACCTGCTATGCAAAACGATCAAGTTTAAAAGTGCATACATTTCTTAGCTTATAAACTTAAAGTTTAAGCCAGTATTTTAAGATGTTTATAATTATGATTTTAATAAAACCACTATAAAAGATAATTTTTAATTTACTTTACCATTTATGTATTTATAAGGTACATGTACTTTCACATAAATAAACATGTCAAAGATGATATATGAAAAATTTCAGATTAAGAATGAGACACGGATGTAGTATTAAAATTCTCTTCTGTGGTACTTGTCTGGGTCAAAGTATGAAGTGACTACAACCCTATTACTGAATTTCCTTCCTGTGAGAGTCTGTTGCGCCTTTTGACAGTCAGCGATGCTGTTAAACTCGACGAAAACCTAGAATGCAGTTACAAAGTGAACAAGATGCACGGTTATTAAATTTAACAAGAAACCGAATTTGTTGCACTTTTTAAGAATTTTTAATAAATTTTATATAAACATAATAAAGATTGAGCGGTAAGCCCTACCTTTCCACATCCTGGTACGTCCACACCTTCTATGGGACGGGGTATCTCTATACTGCGCACGCAACCGTATTTGTTACATTCTTCCCTGTAAAAAGAATAGGTAACAAATATAAAATAAATTTATTTTAAGTTTATCTTTAGTTGAATTACTTTAAGTCTCACTAACTTTATATCCTCAAGAATGTCTTCATATTCCTCTTCATCACGCAATTCATCCGGTGTTACCATGTTCAACAAGCACAGAACTTCTGTGGGTGGTCCTGCTCCAGCTAATGTCAAACCAGCTACTTGCAAGGTGACTGGTGCGGCACCAGTCATAGCTGAAAATGAAAAATTTATAATGGTACTTATAGAATTATACCAAGCTAGAGTACACTACCTGGACCTATGACCTAATATGTCCATTTTTAACCAAGCTATATCGGCTATTATATAAAGCCTTAGCATATGAAATGTGTGCATGTGAAGTGTGTGTGAATTGTAATACTTTAAATTACCTAATGTTGAATTCTTAGCTCCAATACTAGCTCTTTGCACAATCAGTTTCTTGTCTCCAAGCTGCATGCCATTAAGACCAGCAATAGCCTGCAAAACAAAATTCGCTTATACATGTAGAAGTTCTCGAGATAGGATTTCGTTGCCAATGTATAATTTACCTGATCAGTCATTGTTATATCAACATATTCGGCAAAAGCGTAACCCTTGCTGAGACCAGTCGACGAGTCCTTCACGAGATTGAAAGCTCTGAGTTGTCCAAAAGACATCAGGAGTTCCTTAACCTGGACGACATGAGATTAAGTTAGGTATACACGCGCTCACCGCAAGAGGACTCAAAACATTTCTCATTGACACATGTACCATCTAGTGCTATCTAATATATACTGTTCCCGAAAAAGATGATATCTGCACATATAATGGGCAAACATTAATTGAATTAGTGTAATCTGACCTGTGTCATAGGCGCAAGATATAATCACATGTGAACGGAGGAGACTTGCCTTGTCGTGCCGGCGTCTCGTTCAAGTACAAGACGTATGGGTGAGAATGAGAGACAACAGTGACACGCGGGCCGCGAATGTGCCAAATCTATGCTAGGGAGGGGCAAAAAGCAAACTTTATCAGTGAGATGTAATTAAGAATGCGGAGCGTGTAACGTGCACGCTCATCACTGTATGGGTACCTGAAATACCTGAAACGGATCAAATTAAACGCGGCTCACTGCTGGCAGCACCGTAGCCCTGTCAACTGTTGAATCTCGCCTGAAATAGCAGCGGCACCTATGGCCTAATCGAAACCTATGCTATTTTTAACCTCACAAGTCTCACTTCTAACTACATTTCAAATAATATTTGAATATGAACGCGAATTAATACGCAAATAGTTTAATTCCATAACGCCTAACCACAGGATTTTATCTTCCGAAAAAAGATGTTCTTTCTAACCTGCAAAATACAATTCATATGTATAATGGCTCTTGTTTTAAGGTGTAATTTAATACATTGAAATTGTCGGATTAATTTTGAATTCAGTTTTTTAATTGAAGCTTGATAAGGTTTTATGACTATTATATATGAGAATATTAAAATTCCTCAACATTTTCATGTTAGTTGGTGAAAGGCGATAAGTAACATAACTTTGCAAATACATTGGATTTTGGCCCTAGTAACTCAGTACTTTAGCTAAATAGTGCCATAAACACAGCCACTTACCTGATCCTCATTAAGATAGTTAGGGAGACCTCCAATAAATATTTTATGAGGCGAATCTGGAACAACTGTACTTATGACACCCGCTGTAAAAAATATACCCACATATTGATCATACATCTTATTAAAAATGAACACAAAATATCATTCAAGCACCAAGCCACATTCACAGGCAGTAAAAATAAAATTTCTTCTCTCAATTCTGTTCTAGCTTGCAGGAGGCACAACTGTTAAAGTAATGCAAGTGAAGGAGTGTTGTTCTAGAGGGATGTACAATATTAGTGTGGAGGCAATAAGTTGTGTTAAGTGTTTTTGTCTGATTAAAAATTATAATGCTAATATCATCAATACAATATTTAGGATTTGTTATTTAAATAGTATTTTGGTTGAAAAGGATTGTCATTTTCATGTATTTATCACACTGACAGAGAACAACACTGAGGCGTAATTATACTAACTTGAACTTAGAGCATGCTTGTTTTATATTATTTTCATGCCTAAATGCTAAGGACATGAAGGTAATAGGTCCAGTTAGTAGAAAATTCTAAAAACAACTTTAAAAAGATGCAAAAGCAAATAACAACATATAGCTAAAGCTAGTCAAAATTTAGGGAAAAACTCACCAGGTACATTTATTGAGGGATTTTCAGTGCCAGGCATTGGTTGATAATCGTGTGGACGACGTATTTTCAAACTCTGTCCCTTGAAGTTTATACCGTCGAATGCCATGGCTTGGGTTGTTTCATCAATAGATCTAAACTCAAGGAATGCAAAGTTTTTGTCAAGGTTAATCTGACATGCAAGAACAGGATTTCCAGCTGCTTGAGCCAACCCCGAAAGATGCATTTGTTGGTTAAAGAACTCCATAGTTTCCTCTTCTGTCACACCAAATGGTATGTTCCCAACGTAAAGGCGCCGAGCTTGACGTGTAATGGTAGACCCGACGACTGGTACCGCTGCCTGTGGCGTATCCGCCACTATGTTTGCCGGGATTTGTCCGGCCGCTTGCATAGCCTTATACTGTAATGGCGTGATATGTTCGAAACCAGGCGGTGGGACATCCCAATAAAGCGATGGCTTGCGACGACGAGATCGCTTAGATGGTGATCTCGACTTACTTTTTCTTTTTTCACGTCGATCTCGGGATCGTGAACGAGTTCTTCGTCTTTCTCTGGAGCGTGATCGGCGTCGGCGGTCTGCAATTGAATTTCCATGTGCAATTATCTTGTTAATATATATCTACAATACCTAAAGCTTAAATAAAAACCAAATATCTTACCTTTATCTTCACCCATAATAATATTAAATTGCTTGTCTTTTTAACAGCAAAATTATAGACAACTCTGTTGCAAACACAAAATGGCGTTAAGCATTGTGCAGCAACGACTGGAAGTTTGCATTATAGATTATATATGAGACGTGTCAAAAATTTTAAACGTGAGTATGGTAAATTTTATTTCATTGGATTGACTTTTACAATGAAATAGGCGCGATATATTTATTTACTTATTTTAGTAAAGATCAATATGACTTATAAAATAAAAAATAATAAAAAAAATATTTAATTATTTTTTATGATATTTCAAATACAGAGTAAGTCTATGGCGAAACTTGGCTAATTGACTTGCAGCCACATCATGTAATAAGTTAAATTAAAAACAATTGTCAAATATTTATTGCAAAATTAAGTATAATTTACAAACATAAAACAATTCTAATCGTATCTTGAGGTGTTTTAGAATTTTAAATTATTTGCTAAGTACGTGGTGCCCGAGAAACCAGTCAATAATTATATTTTTAGTTGTCTTAATTATACACAGCATTGTATTTATATTTTCTATGAGTATTATTTCGAATACAGGAATTTTCCTTAATAGAAAGTAAAAGTGAAAGTATTTGTGCATCAAACCCGTGATCTTTAAAAAATATTAGACTTATTAGTAATGTGCTGCTACGTTATTATTTTTAAGACAGTTGTTTAAATAATTAAGGTGACTTTAATATTAATAAGAAGTGTATACTTTCAGCAAAAATGGTATGTATTATTTTCCTCTTTTAAATAATTTGTAGAAGTTTGTTTCTATTACAATATTAGTTCTAACTCATAATAAAATGAAATATTCTTGTTTTTAAATTTAATTATCACTTTCATATGTTATTTTATTTTCAGGAGAATAATAATGGTGATTTCAGGAAAAGAATAATTAATGACTATGATAAGAACATAGCATTGGATAAAAAAGACATAAGAACTGAAAATGTTTACTCTAACAACAAAGTAGTCAGTTTAGTATTTATATCCCTTCTACTAGATCTTCTAGCATTTACCATGATACTCCCATTATTACCTTCTCTCTTGGACTACTATGATAAGGAAGAAGGGGACAAGGCAACTCTCTATTCAGCCCTATTGAATGCCGTAAAGAGATTTCAGACAATGACTGGAGCTCCGGATCGATTTGCTTCTGTTTTGTTTGGAGGGGCCTTAGGGTCAATGTATAGTTTTTTGCAATTTCTCACAAGCCCTATTGTTGGAAGCCTATCTGATGCCTATGGAAGGAAACCTTTACTTTTTATTTGCCTGGTATGATATACTGTACTTTATAATAATTGCTGAAGCTGTAAATCTGAATATCTAAAGCTTATCCCAACCTTTCTGTCTCTGCTGGCAAAAAACATAAAAAAAAAAATTAAAAATAATTCTTAAGTGTTCTTTTAGTATGTTTTATCCTTCACAGATATCAAGTGAAGTATATTTATCTCAATTCATATCTTAGATCATCCATAACTATCATCTTATATTTAGACTTATCAGTATTCAGAAAGATAATACCTCTCCCTTTCTATTTAATTACAGGTAGGGATAGCTTTGTCCCATGGGCTCTGGCGGTATGCAAGTTCATTCAGTCTGTTTGTATTGGCCAGATTCATTGGAGGGCTGAGTAAAGCTAATGTTAGTTTAAGTATGGCTATTGTAACTGATGTCTCCAATGAGAAGAATAGGGCTAAGGGCATGGTAAGTGATGTTTAATAAGAAAAGAGAATTTAGAACAAACTTTACAATATCTTTGGAGGCAGATATAACTTACAACCCAAAGTAGGTAAAATGGTCAGCTACAACCATAGACTGTTGCTTATATTGGAGTCCTTGATCGATAATAAAACAAAACTTTAAACCACCATAATAAATACACATTAAGCTTAATAAATTAGTATAAATATTGCTTTTTCAGTTATAAAATTTATCTTATAATTTGTACATTTATTAATAATCTGTAATGTCTTTAGAATGCACTGTTTCTATCTAAATTACCAATTTCTCCATTTGATATCAAAATCTTATTCTTAGGGTTATTAAAAAAATGTTCTGGAAAGCTTGCCCATTGTAAAAATAATCTTGTTTCAGGCTCTAATAGGTTTGGCATTTTCAGTAGGTTTCATACTGGGCCCTCTGGCTGGTGCTTGGTTTGCAAAAAACAATGATCATTCTTCTGGCATGTGGGGTGAACGACCTGCACAGTATGCTTTGTTCCTTTCACTAGCAAATGTTATTCTTGTCACTTTTTTCATACCCGAGACATTGGCAAAGGTGGGTTAGAGTTTTCAGTAATGTATTATAGTACTTTTGATTGTATACAAATGGTTTCTCACACCTAATATTTCATTTGTTTTCAGGAAAAGAGAGCACCATTGTCTTTGAGCCTTTCAAAAGGCTTAGATTACGTGTCGCCTTGGCACTTGGTAAAGTTCAGTGCAGTAAAGAACTTAACAGAGCATCAAAACAAAGTCCTTTATAAACTTGGATTGATTTATTTTACCTATCTCTTTATATACTCAGGGTTGGAATTCACTCTCACCTTTTTAACGCACCATACATTTAAGTATACAGCTATGCAACAGGGGAAAATGTTTTTAGTCATTGGTAAGTTAGTATAATTCTATAGACAGTATTTAAGTTAGTATAACATTTTTTGGAATTTATTATAGTTTATATTAAAATCAATAATAGATTGTCTCTTTATGTTTTAAAACGAGCAGTATTATCTGTAGAGTCAAAATCTAAATATATTTTTAGTATATTTTATGTTTACACTTTAAAAACTTGTTGTTGAGTTGAACTTGGAAGTTGTAATATTATAATTATTTTGTATAGTTTATTTATTATAATTGGCATATTGGAAGAACGTTATGTAATACAAAATGCATTTATTATTATAGGTGTTATAATGAGTTTACTCCAAGGAGGAGCAGCGAGGCGACTCGGTGCCAGAGGCGCAGTGACGGCAGCTCGACTAGCTTTAGCGTTGACCCCACTCTCTTTCCTATGCGTCGCTTTAGCTGCCGTTCCGCGACCAATACTCATGGCACCAATTGGCTGGCTATGGGCTGGCCTGGTCTTATTCGCTTTATGTGAGTGCTCCACTTATAACTTTTGTTCTCTACTCCACTTAAGAATTCTTCTTCCTTATTGGCAAATCGGTATGGTGCTTGATTCTGTGTTTTTTTTAGCAACTGCTTTCGCAGTTTCGTGTATGACTTCCATGGCGGCTGCACAAGCACCTGAAGAGTCCAGAGGCGCAGTTCTTGGAACTGTTCGCTCGTTGGGCGCCTTAGCGAGGGCTGCTGGACCACTTATTGCCTCTACAGGTATTACCAATAAAATACACAGCTATTTGTTTCTCTAAAAATAAAACTGCGAGAAAAGTAAAATACATTTAAATTAAACGCTAACGGTTTTAACTACGGCTCGACGTTTCGGATGCTTTGTAACAGCCATAGTCACGGGGAGTCTAAAGATGGAGGGTGTCTCTGACGTCAAAGTAAAAACTACGCTAGCGCCACCTGTTCCGTCTGCAAGGACCCGGCCAGTTTCGACCAATGCCATCTTCGACGCGATGATATATATATATCGCGTTTTAAACCGTTTAAGTGGTTTATTTAAATGTGTACTATTCGGTAAACTACAAACAGTATTTAAAGTAAAATATATCAACTGTAATAGTACGCAAGTTAATGGATAATCGTAACGCTGCACTTTACGGACGTTATGACATGGAACGACTACGTCAACTGTTTTGTATACTCCGTATGTCCTACCTATTTTCACATTCCCTAGTGGATATTTGATTTAGTCGCATTACAAAAACTGTGTTAGTATGTGTATTATCTGTGTGCAGTATTATCTACACATACACATAGACAACGTAGAGGTAAGTGGAACCAGAGTCAAAATGATGTATTTTTTATTTACAGTGTACTGGTGCTACGGTGCGAGCGTTACATATACAATCGGTGCAATTATTCTTATTATACCAGCTGTGATGTTATTTAGGCTTAGAACATAATGTTTTATTTACTTTTGTATTACTTTTTCAAACAGAACTATGATTTCACTGCTATTGTTTACACTGAACACTTCGGTCTCAGATATATATAAAATATATACGGAAATATCAAAACGTCTTTCAAGTATTGACAATCGAAAATTAAACTGTTTATTGAGTTTGAGAAGGAAATGTTCACGAATTCGAAAGTTTATTTGTCAGTCAATTTGTTTCTACAACTATATTAGTATTTACAAAAAATGTGTTTGATATATTAAACATTATTTTATTTATTGATATCCATAAAAATTCCGACTGAACGAAAGACTGGAGTATTTGGTAGTACATATTAAGAATTAGGTTGCCCGTAGACAATACAATATAATGAGCAATATTTTAGAAAAATGTATACGCAGAACCTGAGATAAAGCAATAATATAAATAATAGTTTTTTTATCATTCCGAATGGATATTACTATATTAGTAGATAGATTACTTCTTTATTAGATATAGTTCCAGCAGTGGAATGAGTATAAACCGAACGCAAGGTATACCAGTGTTAAACAATAGGACGAAATATAACATTAATATGGTAAACAGTTTACTTCGGATTGTAATTTTGTTTTTGACTTCGTTTATTGTACTCGTAGATAGGTAGTGTAGCGATGTTTAGCGCTGAACGATGTAGAGGGGATAGTTGCGCATCTCTACAGTCGCGCACGTAATTGATTGGAAAATTCGAAAAGACAACACGACTGTGGAACTAATCAACGTTAGCGCACATGACGTTTACTCGCCCCGCGCGCGCTACCGTTCTTTCGATACCCTATTTTTTACTTCTGCGCAGGATTCGTTCAACGCTAAAGATCCATGCCGTTACTTATAAACACATAATTCCGTTAACTTTGTAATTTCGACTTAAGAGGTTGTCTCATTGTCAGTAATACCTAATAATCTGCTTTTTTTCACAACAGCGCATGACAGCAAGTTATTTGTACCTACCTAATATATTTTTAGATCAAACGTATTTAAAATTTGATCAGAAATAGAAAGTCCTGGAATTAAGCCAATATTATTCTGGATGCGTATTGCAGTTGTATGTTGGCATTCTGCATTTGGAGATCAATAAAATGAGCTTATGCAGCCAAACCAGTGATGGAACAAAGTATTTGATATATTTTATATCTACGTAGTTTAAGATTGTATTCTACTTTTATCGTCCATTTATTTATAATAATTTAATTCATACGTATTATTGTTTGTAAATTTACGAATGTATTAATAAACCATTTTATTTACATTTGTTTTTATTTGCATGTCTTGTAGAGAGGGGGCAACAGTAGAGCAGTAGTAGTACAGAGCAAGGACTATAAAATAACATATATGTTATTTATTGGTAGGTAGACAAATAAATAACAATAAAATAACATATAACAACTACAACTGTCACTAAACTGACAACGAACCCGTTTTTACAAATTTAAAATATAGGTAAATGACGATGCTTTTTTCGCACAGTAAAATGTTTATTTTCTATACCGTCACCAAAACGGATCGATTCATGATATCAATAAGCGTCCACACTCCACAGGTAAAATAGCCGTGAAGTTTAAAAAAGGTCGACAGCGCATTTTGTTTATATTTTGTATGGCTGGGATTGATGTAATTCACCTTCCGACAAAAGAACCCCACGCTTGTCCAAGTCTATTATTAAAAAAACTATGTGTGGTTACTTTTCGTTACCATGGAAACTGATAAATATTCACAGATATAATGGTTATTTCTTATGCCAACACTAGATAACAATTAATCATAATATCTGACTAATCGTTAGCCCAATATGCCACTGTTTAGTAACAAATTTTCTCCTAAAACTATTCCAATAAGAAAGCAAGACACCGCCGTTTTAAGAAGTGAGTTTGGCAGTGAATATGCCACCAAAGAACTAAGTATTGACATTCAGCCGTTGAAATTAAAACTAGGAGGCTTCGAAGTATCTTTTGAAGACGGGGAATGGATACCAGGTAATTTGTTATTTTGGCCACGCCTTATTATACTGAAAATAGACAGTCCCATGTGAAGTCGTAGACATATAACGCTTGTTTTTACAGCGTCAGGAAAAGCAGGCGCGGCACATAAAGAAAATTTAAGACTTAAGAAGGAATTGGAACAACTCGAGGAAGAGAACAATATGTTACGGCTAAAGTTTGAAATTCTGCTCGATATGATGACTGACAAGACAATGGAAGCGGAACAGCAATCAGAGCTACAAAGATCGCACAGCACCAGTTCTTTAAAACAAAAGAGCAAAAAGTACAAGTCCTGACTTCGACTAAGAAAAATACATATAAAATACAAAATAATAATAAATAAAACTATATAATAATGAAAATATTTTATTAAAACACATTTCTTATTGAATAATATACAATTACCATTTTCACAACTATAGTTAACTATAATAGTAGAGTTTATCTAGGCAACACTTACGGTCTACGTAAGAATTACTTTTTATTTACATGAGTTTTCGAGAAGTTATTTGAAATGCCTACCCTGCACAATTATTTTTAAATATTTGTATTCTTCTTTCAAGACGCATACACTAAGCTGTTAAGAAAGTTCGGATTGTTTGTTGGACAAAGTCCAAGATTGATCACCCAGGTCTAACTTTGCAACCAAGGCAAGGCTTCAAGTCACCCCTATGTCTACGATTATGCAATCATTCTAAATTGCATTTCAAGCTTAGCTTAATTGGCAAATTGAATACAATAAACAATATATATTATATAATAACTTGCAATGTACCAATAGAAATCAAGAGTCTTTATTAGGGCAGCGATTCTTCGTGTGTCCCTCTTGACGACATAAACCACACTTGCGTCCTCCCCGCGCCTCGCCTGAGCTCGAACCACGGCCCCTGCCTCGCCTGCTATTACTGCTACTTGAACTTCCCCAGTCTAGAATAAAAGTTAATATGTAAAGCGGAAAAGTCTAGTACTAATTTGGTTATCGAGACAATATGTACATAGAGATATTAAGAAAAAGATGCCCCAAAAGGCTTATGTTTGTTGTATTCTTATGTACACAATTCTTATTTTACTAACATACTCCTTCGAAACGGCTCGACCGATTTTTCTAAAATTGTATATACAGATTCAGTAGGTCTGAGAATGGGTTACTATGTTTCATACTCCTAAGTGATTATAATCAGTACAATATTTTTATTTAAAAAAATGTGACATTCAAAGTACATACAATCCTTAATTTTTACCCTTCTAACACCCACACCTATTTCTAATAGTAGTCTTATTAATTTAATAATGTTTCACCCCCCTCGAAAACTGATAAATTATCACTTGGTAAGTTATTACCACCAGGTGTTTACCGCTGTTAATAAATTAATAATTGGTGTTTTGTCTCCATGCCCCTTTCAAACATACCAGATTCTTATACACTAGAAATTCCCTAAATATCATTTATATGGCAAAACAACGGTGACGGGTCAGTTATTATAATATACATAAATCTAATATTTTCTACCTGTGGTTGTCGAAGATCCACCATCGGCCCACTGGAAGAAGTTACATCGCTTGTTGAATTCCTTGGGACATCCATAGAATGGACGTCCTTTATTCGGACCCTCTTTGTGGACAGTTATCCTGGGAACAAAAACTTTATTTAGACATCTGAATTGTTTTCGGAGGATATGTAAATTTAAAAAAATATATAAAACATTTGTATTTGCTAGTGCGCAATTAACTTATGTTTAATCATTATAATCACAATCATTATAGACATATATATTTATGCTATTATAATGTAGCATAATTTGATGGGCTCATTGGTGCTCAATGATCCTAATAATCGACGGGTCGTGGGTTCGTTCTCACTGGGCCCAACGTGTTTTCAACAAATTATAAATTTTCTGAAATATGTTGGGCCTCGTCCGGAAATGGATATTAGGTGCATGGTAGGAATATCGAAATTCAGTCTAGGTCGCGACCCATTGACCACAGATAAAAAATCTGCGAAGTTTAATCGTATTTGTGTTTCAGTCTGCGGATTACCGAATATCCGAATACTAAATAGGTCAACGGCACATCTTGTTTAGGTGTTATGGCCGGGGTATATCATCTACCATCATGTGAACCCCACGTTTGTTTGTCTTTATCTATCATGAAGAAAACATAGTCTTTTATATGAATGAGAAAAAAAATACGTACTTCTTACAAGGCAATCCACAATCACACATAACATTATCGTCATTAGGTTGGAAATCGTCTCTACTGAAGCTTGGTGTGATTCCCCAGCCCCTGGAACTGCTGGGAACAGGATCAGTTCCAGAATTGGCATTACTGGTAGAGCTGCTTGGAGTGTCGAAATTAGTTTGCAGGTTCTGATCTACAGACTCCGGCGCCCAAAGAAAGAAATCGCAGCCATTGTTGTCTCTGCCGGCCTGGCATTTGTAGAATTTCTTGCCTAAAATTTAATAGGGTCGGTTACTACCCCCTTTATTGTTACTTGATGATTTTAATTCCCAACACCGATATTAGAGAAGTAGCATTACCAATAGTTGTGGGGAACAGGTTTAAGGTATCATAGATATGTTTAATTTATGCATTTTAAACAAGGGTCACCCTACGCGTCGTACTAAGGCAAAATGAAAATATAAGTGCGATAGATCTTTCTATCTGCTCTCCAGAATTCGCTTCATCTATAATATTATGGCGTCCTCTGGAAACTTCATTTGGACGTGACCACTATACACTAATAATGACAGTTCCGATTAAAAATAATAGTTACAATAAGGTTAGAAAAACAGGATTAAAATATATACTCTACATCAAAAATTATTGTAGCTAGGTAGAATGCGTTAACTATAAAAACTTTAAATTTACATTACTAACGAACGAAAGAACTAGCAAGAAACTCGCCGTCAATCCTTTTAACATGTTTTAGTTACAAATTACCTACGTACTTAAAGTGTACATATTTTTCCTTATTAGAGCGAGTTCCTCCAAACCCCGAGCGTTGTTATCATTTAAATATTGATTTACGTTATAATAACCCTTTTCAAATAGTGTTTGTCTCACATACGATTTAAACTTATTTATTGCCAATGTTTGTTCTTTAAAAGGAACCAACATATTATATGGCACATTTACAGTACATTTGTGGAGTGCATTTTAAGCTAGTTAATTAACCTCTGTCTTAAACATATTATATATGTATATTACTACGTGGACGAAGTTACATTATAATATTTTTGGTAAAGGGTCTTACTTTCCAGCAACGGAGATACACAAATAAAAGGTCGCATCGAACTCGCGACCGTGTAACAGCCAATTCAATAAGCTTCTATATTACCTCATTGATCACTATTTACTGTATATTGATTTATTTGATTGCATTTATAAATACAGTGCGAAATTCCACTTACCAAAATTTGCGTTTTGCTTCCGAACGGTCAACAAGATGGCGGGTTTATTACATCCACATATAACATTATTGTCGTCGTCTCCAGAACTGCTCGGGGTTGGAAATCTTGGACCATTTGGATTTCTTGGTACTGGCATTCGCGGTGCCGGTATAGAATTTTGACCTCTATTTACATTAACAGGAGGTGTCAACTGCCTTGGCAGTGGTCGAGGCACACTAGGTATATTTGGGCTAGCGTTCCTTATTATTGTTGATGTACTTGTATTGGATATATCAACTGTTGCAGGCAAACTTCGAGTCTCAGTACTTCTAGTTTTTCTGACGCTGCTCAAGTTAATTTTTAGTAGTTCTAAAAAGGTTGTATCACATCCGCCGAGGCATGCCGTATAAGGCGGCGGATATAGATGATTGATGGAATTATTTCGCCATTCGAATTTCACCTTTTTGTACGTTGGTCCACACTAGAAACCAAACATAAAATTATAAAATTCTAGTTGTAAAAACATTGAAAATTGTAATTATTAATTAAATATATTATGTTTGCAATAATAATCTGTGAAAATCTACCAAACTTTGAAACCTTTATTAGTTTCACATGTAATGCAATAAATTAATGAAAAAAAAAACATTATAGATTAAAAAAAATCCGATTTAACACTTTTACCAACAGAGTTATGACAATATGAATCGCGTTGGACCCGGTGGGACTCGAACCCCCGGCCAGTTGTTTATCGTTGGTCCAATGGGCTTGTTCTTCTATAGAGATAAAAATGATACGTACAGTAGGACATGTATCAGGTAAGACGTGCATTGTTTTCACAATAGTTGGCAACCACACTGCGTTCTTACAATTCGGATAGGTCACACAACTTATATAGAACTCGTCCGCGTTGTTTCTCTTCTGTTTCAGTACCATATCAGCACCGCACTTTGGACATTTTAATACTGAAATTATTAAGAAAAAGCCGAAGTTAAGTCTTAATAGTAAAAAGGTAAATAGCGACAATAATCTTAAGAACCTGTTATTTAACTACAATATTATAAGTACTGTTGCAAATTAACCTTAATATTTTTAAAGATAAAAAAAAAAGACTGAGATGAAATATAGCGCTAACAGAATTACTACCATTTACGTAATTTATATAGAAACAAAATACTGAACTGAAAAATTTGTTTAGATAAAACCCTTGAACGGTTTAAAACGCGATATATATTAGTTAAACTTATTTGAAAATTATTTTTAACTTCGGCCTGACGTTTCGGATGCCTTGCAGCAGCTGTGGTCACGGGGAGACTAAAGTTGGAGGATGTCTCTGACGTCAATGTAAAAATCTGCTACGCTAGCGCCATTTCTTTCATCGTCCGACGGATTTATATCGCGTTTTAAACCGTAAAAGTATTTTATTTAAATGTGTACTATTCGCGTAAACTACAGATGGTATGAAAAATTCGTTTTTTTATTAAATTTATTTTTAGAATTTTTTTTCTACGTTTCGATAATTGAAACGTCTTCTTTCACGATTGTTATTTCTTCATTTAGAGAACTATTATAAACTATCTTAATAGGGCGGGTAAATGCTGGTATCAAATGATAAATTAATTTTTATCTAAGTTAAATGGTCGTTTTAAAGAAATACCTGAAGGTATGTCTCTAGGCATAGTCTCGACGGTGGGCGTATACTCTATCGGTCTCTCGCTAAACCTCTCTGCTAGGGCACCATCAATTTTATTCGCTTCTGCCGTAACAGTTAGATACACTTCCTTATACTTGGCTATCTGAAAATTACAAGCCTTTAATTTAAGTATTTATAAAGCTATTAGCTTTGCCAGTGACTTGATCCGCGTAGAATAGTTATTATGGACATTAAGCTATTGTTTTTGTAAATCGCATTGCGAGTTAATCTCAAAAGATAGATATATAGAGTCACAGACATTTTTTTAGATTATTTAGAGAGGAATCAATCTTTCATACATTTTTTCGGGTTTTCTCAAACCGTTTTCGTTCACACGACGGAAACTCGCAAAAATATTTCCCCGTCTTTCCCACATTTTCATCCACAGAACTCCCCTTTCGTCACATTGTGATGTTTTATAACCTTTCCTCGAATTTTTTTAAAATTTGAACCAGTAGTTGCTGAGATTAGCACGTTCAAACAAACAAACAAACTCTTCAGCTGTCATATTAATGTAGATTGTTTATGGGTGGGCAAAAATTAATAGATGTTATAACTAAGTTCTTAATTAGGTCGTCTTATCATTTTATGTTTGATCTTTGTATTTCGAATACTACACTCGATATACTTTTTTCACATTTCAAGTTCCTAGACCTACACTTTTCATTTTAAATAAAGCTTTCTCGAATATAATTACCTGTTCAGCCAAAACTACTTGCGGTTGCTTTCTTCCTTCTGATATTGCTTTCAAATCTGCTTCAAGCTGAGCTCGCAAATGAGGCTTGGATATGTTGAGGCCCATCGCATCGTAACCTGTAGAACAAAACAGTGTTTATATGTTCGCAATTATTTAAACTGTGTTAAAAAAATACAAACTAGACCGACGACGTTCTTGACAGTTAATCTTAAACTATGGCAGACATTTTTTGAGATCATTTATGGGTATTATTGTATCTTTTTGGAGCGCACACAACAGAAGTCCTCAATAAATAGTATATCCAACACAAAAATAATTTATCATTTTAAAACCAGTAGTTCTTAAGATTAGTGCGTTCAAACAAACAAACTCTTCGGCTTCATAATAAAAGTATAAATACTAACCTTCCACTAACCCCATGCCGAGCAGACCCGGCACGAAGTGTATCGCATCAGCGAGGGCTACGTAAGACCGGCTTTTAATTGTCTCTATATGTTCAGCGTGAGTTGCGTCGGTTCCTGAAAAAACAATGATCAGCTCGAATATACCAAATGGCATGCGATGGCAAGCGTTCGTCAGGAAAATACTTTTCAAATACATATTTATTCGCCTCACAGGCTTTGCACATGAAATCATACATCTTCTCTGTAATATTATTAAGGTAATTATAATTATTCTTTTATTTTTTCTTGTTACCCAAATAATTATGTTTTAGTTATAGATTTAGACTGTAATTTTGTCTGACTTGTCTTCTTGGTAAACGACGTGTTTGCCAATGCCTGCAGTTTATGATTGTATCCCCTTACTATCAATATTAATGCGAAAGTAGCTCTGTCTGTATGTTACTCTTTCACGCCAAAACTACTGAACGGATTTGAATGAAATTTGGTGCACAGATGATCTAGACCCTGAGAAAGAACATAGGCTACTTTTATTGCGAAAAGGGGGTTGTAAGGGGTTAAAAGGGGGGGGGTGAAAGTTTGTATGGAAATTCGTGGTTTTTGAAGCTAGAACAATAAAACTTTCTTCTTTGGCTTTTTGGGAATAGGAGTGGGAGTGGGAGTTAGAGTAGGAATGATGTGAGGTGAGAGTGTTGCGGCAAAGTAGCACCTACAATATAGATTGGCTGCGATAAATGCGCAATTACATAAATTAATAAACACCCTAAATAATTAAAATTCTACCCCAATTCACTATCCCACGCAAACGAAGTCGCGGGCACAGCTAGTATATTATAAATGTAATTTAACCATAACTCAATCAAATAACCACCAACCAACTAACCAATTCCATGTTTCTCCATAAGAGCAATAAGGTCAGCTTCTGTTAGCAGATTCGGTGGTGAGGTGCTTCCATCTACTAGGTCGATACTTGTGGGGTGAAAGGTTTGTCTTACCTGAAAAATAAAATGTGTTTGTCCATGCCTGTATGAGCACTTAATTTTGTTTTGGTAGGCACATGATTTTAAATCTTAGTAATAATGGTACAGAGTTTTTCATATGGAAGCCCATTGAACAGAACACCATTAGTCAATTCTGTAAGAACCCGGCCAGTTTCGCCAAATACCAACTTCGACGGAACAGATGGCGCTAGCGTAGGAAAATTTACTTTGACGTCACGTCAGAGACATCCTCCATCTTTAGCCTCCCCGTGATCATGGCTGCTGCGAAGCATCCGAAACGTCCAGCCGAAGTTAAAAATAATTTTCAAATAAGTTTAACTAATATATATCGCGTTTTAAACCGTTAAAGTGTTTTATTTAAATACATATATTTAGTCAGATAACTTACTTCATAAACATGAATTTCCTTGGACGACCACTTGTCATAAGGATACACTTCCAAGTAATTCCTGGCGGTGATCATGAGACCGTTGGCTGAGAAGACTTCGTTGGCAATGTTGATGGTTACTGTTGTCTCTTGGCCTTGAGCATCTTTAGAGCAACAAGCGAGAAACGAACGTACTATGAATTCGTATAGCCGTTGCTCGTTTCCAGAAAGATCTAAAAAATAAATTGTTATCACGCGGGTAGTTTCGCCATATTGATATATCACATATTAGTTAACTTTCCCATTTTGAACCCATATTTTAATTTACTAATACTTGGCTATAATTATTTTAATATATTTTTTTTTAATGTTAAAAATGTAAAAAAAAAACTTGTGAAGTTTAATAGCCTTTTGTTTTGAATCTGTGGATTTCCGTATATACAAAGACAAAATAGGTCCCAAAAAATAGGCGTATCTTATTTTAATGCTGTTCCTTGCATCAAGAGAATCCCCATACTTCTCTCCTCTAGCATAAAAACAAGAAAATAAAGATAAAAGATATATAATTATTACTTAATAAAAAAACCTACTAAATATCCCTAACAAATATACACGAGGAATAAAGGATATAACTCACTGTTAGTGTACTTCGTGGGATGTATAGGAGGATGGGCCTTATCACTCTTATTGCCTTGCCTGGGAGTGGGCCCACCGCTATCTAGAATATTCTGGGCAAATGTTCCCCAGTTAGAATCTCCCGTTTGTAGCCCCACCAACTGACCAAGATTCATCTCCTTTGGAAACTCATTCGTTTCAGTACGCGGGTAACTAATCAAACCCTGGGTATACAATTTTTCAGCTAACCGCATTGTTTCTTTGGCGTTAATTTTTAACTTTCTTGAGGCAAGTTTTTCGAGTTCCTTAAATAGTGAGAAAATGAAAATAATAAGACATAAGGATTAATGTTGCAGTAGCAATTGAAGCTTGTAAGACATAATAGCTCTATTGTTTAGAGCCGCGACACGGAACGCTGTGAATGTCGGGTCAAGTTCCGCCTGTATCGTAACTTTTTTTTTCTATCAAAATAGATTTTAATTTATTCAAATCAGCTATGCCTATTCACAAGTAACAACCATACGTGCTCACAAACTCTTGTAGTAATATCAGAAAATGCAAATGTTAATTTTGTTTAAAATTTCGAGATATACATACCACGGTATCTAACGGAAGAGGTCTCCATTTGGATTTGGGTTTAGTTTTTACATCAGTAACTGTCGCAAGTGGACTCTCGGAGCAAATATCATGTAGCACCTGGAAAAATAACAATTTCCTTACTCTTATATATACATAACTCATATCTTAAAGCAGTTATTTTTTTACCATAAATTTAATTCTGATATGTTACTTAAATAACGTTATACATCACTATGAATCTGATATGTTTGATATTTCATTATTTCCAATTCAAGTTTTTTTCAATAGATCAATAAATAATAATAATAATAATAAGGTATATGAAAAAATTATTATATTTTTCACACTGTGCATTTAGTCTATTAGTTGTAAATTGAAAGATTAACAAAGTAATAAAAAGATAACAAATTAATACCTGACAGGCATCTTGGTCAAATAATCTGACTCGTTCCCAATTAAAATCAACACTCAAGCCATTTAATGTGTGGTTAACTGAAAATATAATTAAAGGGAAATATGATTATTATGTATAATGAAGACAGCTGTTTTGCTCTCCACAGCACAGTAATCCTCGAATTTGGGAGTTTTCTCTTGATTTTATTGTTGAGCCCGATTTTTCTAATACTATTATTGATTAAGATTTAGATATTATTGATTGATGGGTTAAATATAACGTTATTAAATTAATGATAGCAAAAAGTAATGTTCAGTACCTTTTATCTTCCAAAATGGTTCAGACACAAAATTCTCAACTGCCCTATACCGTTCCACAACAAATCCTAGGGTGGGGAATTGACATGAGCCATAGCTCACCAGACTTTGTGACAGCTTGCTAGGAAACACCTTTTGCAGTCGCAGTGTTTGGAATCTCGTGAATGCAGCACCTACAATATTCTAAATAGCTTTTATCATATTGAAGATATATGGTGAAGTTCCATGTGCTATGTGGGGTTGGAGTCAAACACAGTGCTGCGTCTGTCTGTCTGTTTACCTGTCTGGTAGGTTAACCAGGGCTCAAACCCGGTACCTGGAATATTTTATGCTATACTAAGCAATGCAGTCAGCTAAGCTATTAAAGCAAAGGTTAAAAAAGTCATATATATATATTTAAATTATTAAGACAGTATGTAATGTAAGTAATATTAATAAAACAGCTAATCAAATACCTATTCTAAGATCCAACTCCTGTCTAACATCTACTGCATCACTAATATTCTTATTAGGTTGTTCCAAATTCTGTAAAGCTCTTCTCACAGAAACAGCAGTTATCTCCGAGAACTTAGCCCTGTATATTCTTAGATTACTTTTTATTGCTGTACATACATCTATAATTTCAAAGCCAATATTTTCACCTTCTCTGTCACAATCTGTCCATATAATGAGGCCCTGGCAACTGCGAACTTCCCTTTCTAAGGTTTTCTAAAAATAAACCTAAAATTAAGTAAAATATACAAAATAATAATTAAATTCAAAAATGTAACTACCTTTATCTTTTCATAATTTTCTGGGCAAAATTTGAAAACTGGTGCGTCAAACAGAGCCACAGGATTACATGTTTGCCAGTTTTTATAGGTTCCTACAAATTCCAAGGCCAGAAGATGGCCAGATACTGATGTCATAACCATTTGACAATTTTGTCCCATTACATCATGCTCAAATTCATAAATCTTGTTAAACTGCGACAGGCCTTCCCTCTAAAACAACACCATACAATATATGTTTAACAGTCTTTTTGAAGTACTTTTTTTAATTAAAAATTTAGGTTCCTTGCTTTACTTTTGGATTAAAAACTACATACCCTTCTCGATGTCCCTCGAGATAAATGTAGTGCAATATTTTTGGCTGCATCATTTTTTTCTGCTACATTCAAAAATTTCATTGTTTCTTGATTTTCGAATCGACGTTGAGTGGTTAGACAGATTTGTTTTCCATACTTAGAAAATATTTTCTTACTATATTGAATTGTGTTTCTAATCGAAATTACCATTATCTAATATCTTTTTTAATAATTAAAATGTCATTATGCGATAATGTAAATTAATATGAAAAGAAACTAGTAAATTTTAGTAATTAGAAATCATTTTTAAAAATATGGTATCATAATACTACTCTACAGACCGAATTTAATTGTTATTATAGCATTTGTATAAGTATATAGACAAAATAAAAATAAGGGCTTAACTATAACTTTAAATTTTTCTTGCGTTTCTATTCGGTGGCGCCAAAAAAATAACCAAAAAATGGTTACATTGTTGAAGTTAAAAGTAATACGATGCTATCAATGTCAGATGTCATATTCATTATCAAAATACTTAAACTAGCTGTGACAGCGACTTACTTTGGGAGTCAAAAATATCTTATCCTATGTCACTACGTCTATCTATGAAATTACAATTGTAATCTGTGTGTATAAAGCACCATTATTACCCTTTTATTATATATCAGTCGTATCAATTGTGACTCCAAGCCATAAAATAAAAATAAAAAATCGTTTGTGACAATTGATATAAATGTCTGATGTCACATAAATGTATGCAAAGTAGAAAGAGAAATATGAAAATGCCATAATACCTCGTCTTTATAGCTTATAGCTTTGTACATCAAATTAACGCAAAACATTATAAAAAAAATAATTCATAATACATGCCAATAAAAGAATAAATTAAATAAAACACGAGTACTACTTTTACTTTTAGTATGAATACTTTATCATAAAACTTAATGATATGTTTGTATATTACATATTATTAATAGATACTGTCAAGTGTTACTGAATTTGTTGTATTAAGAACAAAGACTTAGCGATTGACTATATTATGCTTCTTTCGAGTTCAAAGACGTACCTTAGTGATAACTTTTGCAAGATGTGCTTATTAATAAAATGCCTCAAACGATTGAAAAGTTCGCAGCAATGGCTCAGTCGTCAAAGGGCAGATCCATACGTGGAAAAAGCAAAGATAAACAATTACAGGTACAATACATAATAATCTAAAAATAAACTCTTTGTTTTCCTAGAATATTAAGATTATATTACGTATTCATATTTTAATCATTTTTAGATGTCGTAGTGCGTTTAAACTAATAGAAATGAATGAAAAGACCAATATTCTACAACCTGGGCTAACTGTTGTTGATTTAGGAGCTTCTCCAGGTTCATGGACTCAAGTTGCCGTGCAAAAAACGAATGCTGATGGTTCTGATTCTGCAAAACCAAAAGGAATGGTGTTGTCTATAGACAAGTTACAAATTTTTCCAATAAAGGTAAGATATTTACATACAAATATTTTAATCTTCAATAATATATAAAATAATTAAGTTTTGTTATTGTAAAAAGCCAAGAGAAAAACCATATATCATGGGCTCTTGAAGGTTGGTAGCTGCAAACATGCATTGAGCATGAAAGTTTTTTTTACTCTTTTCTTACACACTTTCTGCCATAATTTTTTATAATAATAGTGTCCCTTTACAATTCTTTATTTCCAGGGTGCAACTATCATGAATAATGTTGATTTCTCAACAATAGAAGGACATGATAAGGTGATTACAGCATTAAATGGAAAGCCTGTAGATATTGTATTATCAGACATGGCTCCTAGTGCCACAGGAATTCGAGAACTGGATAAGGATAGAATTTTAGGTCTATGTTATATGGCCTTAAGGTTTGCTGCCCTAGTAACAAGGATAGATGGCAACCTTTTATTTAAAGTGTGGGATGGTAAAGAAGTCCCTATTTTAGAAATGGACTTAGAACGTTTCTATAAGAGTATAAAAATTTTAAAGCCAAAAGCGAGTCGGTCAGACTCATCTGAGAAGTTTATACTTGCTAGGGGCTTTAAAGGTATTCAGAGGCCACTAGAAAACGGGCGATGGGGATAAACATACACTCTATATTCTGCCATATAACCAATAAACTTGTTATTATAATAAAAAGCTTCAAATCTGTATACTTAGTAGATATGGTAGGTAGGAAATAAATGATAATGTTAAAAAACATAGTCTTCCAGATTTAGACATAGATGTAAGAATAATATATTTGCTATGTTTCATCAGCTCAAATTATTTTACAAGTTAATAGAAAAGGTATATCATAAGATAATTTTTTTACATTAAAAACAGTCTAATTGATGTTATTTTTAGTATAATGAAACAATTGATTATGTTATAATATATATTTAAATTTAGCATCATTATGAGGCGACAGATCAGTAACAATTTGTATGATTGTATTATAGCAGAACATATTAGGTACATAGTTGCTTACGAAAAATATACTTTTAGCATGTATTTAAAAATTTGCGTATGTTTTTATTTAAAACACTTATTAATTGTGTTTATACCCTATTTAAAATATTTCGTAAAACTAAGCGATGATCACATTTTTGACAGCGGCACCAGCGTAATCGTTTATTTTTGAAATCACAGAAAAACTGGTGCCAAATACTATTGTGCACGAACACAACCAAAAATATTACTCTCTAGAAATTTATCTACAAGATTATTTTTTTTATATACGTAGTGCTTAGACATTAAATATATTTCGAATTGAAAATAAGAGTTTTACTTCTGACTATTGGGGGTTTTATTTAGACGAACTGAGTTCTAGTGCCATGAGATAGTTTGTTCAGTTGCGCTGCAGAAAGCAAGCTAGAATGAGCAACATGGTCAAGCAGAAGTAAGCGTTCTCCTCTCTCGTCGTTATTAGTTACAGCCTGCGAGCATTGTCCTCCAGTTTCGAGGGCGAAACTGCTCACAGCACATATGGCGTAGATAAACGTTAACACGAATATCGCACACCCAAAATCTGAAACCATTTTAAGTTTTACATGATGTTATAAACCTTAGCTTTTATCGAAGTTCTTAGAAAGATTCCCGCGCAAAATTACATTACCATATACAATGCATATGTTTGGGGTAAGGCGCTGATAGAAGTCTGACGGACTTCACCATAACTTTAATTATTGACCCATACAATTTCAAAAGGTAATTCGGGATTTAACCCAGAACCTACTATATATCCAGGCCTACTTACGATAAATGTTATGTCCTCCGAAAAGATTAATAATGCACGGATAACCGTCGAACACAATAATGAAGTTAATAAGAAGGACCACTGCAATGCAGGCTGCCATGATCCAAGGCAAAACGTATTCTCTTTTATACTTGACGGCGCCATACAAAAGAGATATCGAACACATCAGATATATTGCTGTGAGTATCGTACTTGTATAAAGTATTACGACGGTAACTGAAAAAACAACGCAAAGGGGAAGTATTATTTTTTTATTTAATTCTTTAATAATTAAAAAATTCCATATAGGAGGAAATAAAGACTATAGCAGAGATGGTCATCAGTCATGGTGATAAGTCCAAATGATCTGCTGACCATTCCACTCATGTATTATATATATATATTACAGATATAGATATGAAAGTAGTGTATTAAATAACCACCTGAAGCAAGATGCTGAGCTTTGACAAATCTCGCCTGATTGTTAGTACTAATCACATCACTCTCGTGAAATATCACTTGATCTCCGTAACCCACACCGTAAAAACCTCGTCGTTCTTCTTCATCTTTCATGTCGTTGTGAAGCAATTGTAACATCTGTCCAAGGTGAGATATCCCAACTAATAATATTATGAGCACAAAAGATGATAGCGCCTGAGGAAAAGTTTTAGCAATTACTCAATAGTGTTTATTCATCCCGATTGATGAAAATATGTACTTACAATTTGATGGACGGCGATTAATATTGTGCCTTGACGTAGATTAAAAACATATAAGAAGTTGTTTAGACGGATCATCATCTTGTTACATTTCTTCGTTCTGGTAAACATTTGTTTTATTTATAGATTTACAGTAGTGATAGTGAGAGTGAAAACATTGTTTAGGTTTATAAGCAAAGTAAAGATGCGCATGTTATATTTTATCGATTTACTTTCAAGCGCGCATGTTAACACCGCGTCGTGTCGTTATTTGGCTCTTAATCAGAGGCGCCACTTAGGTCTCTGTCTAGTCACTAAAATACTGTGAACAAAAAATGGCTTATGGCCAATGGAAATAGCTATACATTCTTTTTTGTCTATGATAATATTTTAGAATAATAAACTCAATATTTTAAATGAAAAAGATATATAAGATTTCTTTGAATTTTGAGACCATCAATTTTGCAATTTTAGTTGATTATAATTATGCCTTTAGACAGAAATATCGACTGTATCGATACTTCTGTGTCTCATTAGAAAGTTTTGATCAAAATGTTCGAGGATTATCACTGTATCTTCCTCATAATCATCAAATGAAATGTTTTGCAACTTTTATTTGTGGAAAAATAAAATACAATTATTTAATTAAATTAGTTTTATTTCACAACTTACAGTAGAAGTGATAACGTTATGACTGTACCGAACTTTTAGCTGGTTTTAAGTATATTTGGATTATATTCAAACTCACAATAATTTTATATATAAATGAAAATGTATGTACAAAAGAAAAACACGTTTTTCATAAATAAACAATAGATAAATTTTGAAGACAGATAATATTTACAAAAATTTCATAACATGCAAACATTTTCGGATTACAAGAATATACTGCACCTAAGGTTAATTTGTGTATATAAATTGATTAACATAGAAATTAATACGACTTAGATTTATGTAGTATAATGTACTTTAGGTTACTAATTTTACAAGTACAAAAGTGAAATGTTTGAATCGCGGTATGAAGTTGCTTGTTTCTGTGGAAAACGTAGAGTTAAATCATACGTTTGTTTCACTTGGAAATGTGTTAAGTTACATCCTAGGGACGGATTTAAAGAAATTACAAATTATTTTGTGCATTGTTGGAATACTAGTGAATTTTAACATTCAAAACTATCACTTTATTATTGTTTCCTGAATTTGTTTACACTTCAATTGTGCTCGGAATTGTCGTTATTAGTAGGATTTCTATTTTTCTGTGCAAAATCTAATGGACAGATTTCATAGAAAGTCACGATAAAATGGTACAAAAATATCTTAAACTATCGAAGTATTGTATTCATCTGATTAAAGGAAGTCAGTCACAGGACATAATTAACATAAATGAGCGAGAGGTGTGAGGCAACTAAATAAAAATTACGCATAACAATTTTCAAGTTATGGCGCCCATGAGAAGAGCTTGCATAAATTGAAAAAGTATTTGAGAGATCGAAAACTACGACGACACAAACGAAAGCCCCATGGCCTTGATCTGTAGTCATCGTAATTCTTAATCCTTATATGGTTCATGTGAGGAAGTGTAATGAAAAATCTGTGATTTGCACCACATTGTCCACCAAATCGACTTAATACTAGGCACGTGACAATAGATACACACACTTTTGTCGTATCGAATATTATATGGACAATTCAATGGCGAAACGCCGTGCTACAAAATATTCACATACTATTCAAATAACTCACAATATTCACAACATGTTAAGTAACGTTAGCCTATACTAATAGCTTAAGATAGTCACAAATCCGTTGTCAATTACAGCCTATATTCTTTGTCAATTCATGAGTGTTCCCCCCTTGATAGAGGGTGTTTTTTTCAAGATTGGCCATTTTATATTTTTTCCTTTTAACATCAGATTTAGTTAATGTATTAGCTGCTTTGTTACCATCTTATGTAATCGTGCAAGAGTTCCTACCAGTACAATTAAGTCTGGTGTGATGGGGGTGCTTAGATGGTCTCGCGCGGTGGCGGTTCGGCGCAGATGATATGGCGTATGATTTGAGATGAGACTTGAGGGTGCTCGGCAAAGGAAGGCGCTCGAGTCCATATACAGATGTTCGAGCCACTATCGCACGACAGCACAACTCTTGGAGACTGAGGACTGAAATTACAATACAATGTAGGATTAAATGGAGCATACAAATTTGTGTCTGTTCTATTACCAATATACCAAGTTATTGATACCATACCAGGCAAATAGGTGACCAAAATTCTGTGACCTGCCCAACAACAAAATAAAATATACTTTGTTTGCCATTTGAACCTAGAAACCCTGAGGTGTTTTACCATTGAGTGACGTTATGTGAAGTACTTTGAGTGGTTACCCTACTGGTGGTATGACATTTAAGTACCTTTCTAAGATTAAATATGAGATTTCTGTATGTATGTATTCATAGGCACAAAAATACACATTATTTTACAACATTACTCTTGATGTTTCTTGACACTATTAATTATTTTTAGTCAGTGTTGAGTTAGCATGTAGTTAAGATAATAGTTACCTTTATTGCTCCTCCAAAGCCGTTCCATACCATTCCGATGTAGCGCCATTCTTGAAAGTTCACAGAAGCTCTCGCGAATGTTAAAATCACAAAGCGGGCTGACTTCAAAGAAGGCCATGTGATTTTTCGCTGCATACATTTCTGCGTCACGCTCTTGCACTTGCCTCTTGAATGCTAAGTGAAGTCGGTTGCCTACAAGCACCTTAGGAACACCTGGCGCATGCTGAAAGCATTTACTCATGATAATGATTAATTGCACTGTTTCACATTAAATACTGTCTATAGTTTACACAAGTATTACACATTTAAATAAAACACTTTAAAGGTTTAAAACGCGTAACTAACTAATATATCGCGTTTTAAACCGTTAAAGTGTTTTATTTAAATGTTTCACATTCTCTTTTTTGACTGTTGCATAATAGGACCATAGTCTGAATCTCAATGATCAGTGAATCAGATGTCGTAATGTCTCTGCTCTGTGCATCACAGGATAGCCCCAAATAATTTGTGATACACATAATAAAATTGTGTTTTAATCTAGGTGTGTCGAAATCTATACTATAAATCAAACTAATAAAAGAAATTGTATCAGGTCAGTTTCTAGATAATTTTTTAAGTAAAAAAAATACCTTTTCTACTTCTTCTAGCCATCTGTCAATACTATCAAAGGACCACTTGTTAGTTATGTCATAAACAAGAAGAATTCCTTGAGCACCTCTTGAATATGAACGGATGATTGTGCAAAATCTGCCTTGTCCTGATGTGTCCCACAATTGTAGTTTCACTCTTTTGCCATCTAAGAGTATAGTTGTTGTTTTGTATGCTTAAAACAGAACACAAGTGATATCTAATTCCAACACATACAAACATAATGTAGATAATTGGTTATATACATAGTAACTTACCACTACCACTGCAAAAAGGTGAGTCAGCTGATCCATCCTCTAAATCTTGAAGAATTTCTTGTTTACCAACATCAGAGTCACCCACAAGTAAAACTTTCAATAAGTAATCATATGATTTAGGTGCTGCAGGTGGTCGTCCTAAAATTTATAATTTCATAATTTGTATGTACTATCATAAAAATATTGTTACAATGAGTTTATTTTGTTTGACCTCCAGAATAGAGGAGGACAGACAAGCTTGAGTTTCACTTGATAGTAGGTGGAAAACCCCAGCCATGTCTCATAAAAATGTTCTGTCTGTATTTTGGCTTTTAAAATTTGGAAATTCACATATACAAACCTTGGTTTGTATATGTGTAACACTTTTCATCTGTGAACAATAGTTCATGACCTAGACAGAATTACAATATCTAAGTCTAGCAATTATGTACATATCATAAATAATAATATATTAATCAACATACATACCAGGTCTTTGGTGGTGAGATCTAGGTAGAGTTGTGCTGCCGTTAGATGCGACTTGTCCAGTCGCCTGCTGCGGTGCTGCTACCATACTATTTGCACTAAACATACTTTCCATGAATTCCTGAGTTTCAGGTGGCTATTATCCCACACTAATGTATACATAATATCGACCAGTATTTAATCCTTTTCAAGATCCATGTATAAGATAAAAAAATATATAGATTTTTAAGTAAATAAAACTATGAATTCCAATGCACTAGATATTAATGTAATTTACGTTTCAATACGCAAGCCTATAGAAACTTCGTCAAAACACGAAGTGATCTAAAGTTGAAGACATACGTTATATGGAATTAATTTCTCATAGCTTAAAGTTGTATGAAAATTAACAGAAATCTGTTTTAAATTTAAATACGTTAAATGCAATTAATTTGCAATACAAAAACAACACAATGTCCACGAAAATGAATCTTCGACTATACAAATTGCAATCTGACAATTATCAGCTGTCATTAACCACAAGTTTGACAAAATAAGGAGATTAACAGACTATACTCAAAATCTTGGACAGTATATATTATATGTATGTTTACTTTAAATTGCAAATAAATGAGTTTCGCCAAAATTATTACAAATTAACATAAATAAATAATTACAGCATACTTAAAGAATTACTTCAAAAGCACTAAATCCTATCTCTACTGTGATCTTTAGATTATGTGTGGTAATACTTGATAATAATAACATAATCTGAAGCCTAAATTTCTAACTTTTATTAGTATATATTAAATGATATTGTTTCCATGAAGAAATATGTAAAATATTTTTGTTTGTTTATCATTTTGGACAGTCGCAATCGATAACGGGAACCAATGAACTTTTATAAAACTTAAATTACTACTTTGTTTTTGGGGACACCATGACCTTTCGAAATCATTGGCCGCTATCTATATTTATCAATAAACTGTCATCGTAATCTAAAATAAAAACTCCATGTAAGAAGTTACAAAATATATATTTTGTAAATATTTAATTATCTTAATACATAGGTTAGAGATTCCAACTTTAATATGTTTTATATTATAGAAAAATGTAATAAAAAATAGACAAATGAAGCGAAAGTTTCACTCCGGTAGCTATGATTGTCATAGTATAATTGAAAATGCGTTAAGTTCAACTTATTTAAGATAAGGTTTAAGGTTCGGTATTTATTATCTTAACGAAAGCACAGACAGAAAAAGGTGATATAATATCTTTTGTAGTCATTGTTGATTAATAATCATCATAGCCAGGAAGCGGGAAGCCTCTGCTGTATTTTTCAATATTCTCTCTGAGACTGTGAACCTTTTCCTTGAACTCTGCGTTCTCTTCAATTACTTTATTAAAATCTACAAGTTTTGGTCCCGATATTTTTGTAATTTCTGCTGCAAGTTTTAGTGCTTTGTCTATAAAATCTACAACTCTATCTATGTCTGCCTCCTTAAGGCCTCTAGTTGTTAGGGCCGGTGTACCTGTAACAAGAATATATGTTTAAGAAATGCATCCTGGCAGTATATGTACTATAAGATCATATTATATACGTGCAAAACTATCACAGGAAGTAAGATTTTTCGATATTATTAATATCCGTATAGTAATATATTCCGCATTGGAAAACGATTTTCTTTTTTAAAGTGATGTAATTTTTTAATGAAGAGCAAAAAGACACATTGTCATTATACATGGTCTTTAGTGAAGTAAAACATCGTGAGGTAACGTTTTAAGAGCCAAAAGTTCGACGTTTGTCATTGACCAACAACACGAATTGTTTATCACGTACCCTGGCCTGTACACTAAATTAAAAGGCCCATATCCCAGAAGTGGGAACAGTTAAACGGCTAAAATATAGATGAGTAAACACTCTTTGTTAGTAATTGAAATAAGTATGGATATATTAATACTAATGTTATTGAACCAGTTAATTTATCTATGATTAATAATAACGGCATATAATACGTAAATAATATTTATTGTTGATTCAATGCCTTGTTTGTGTTACAGTACATCAATTGATTAGTTTTTGCGATAACACAGTCCTCACGCAACTTCTTGACGCAATATTATATTCGTTCGCCGTAAACCTATTTTCTTATTAGTCGTCGTTCAATAACAAAATCGAACTTAACAACAACTTTAAATTTACATTTTTGCTTGAAAAACATGATTCAAGTTATTTATAAATGTTTTCTTTCAAAATCCTACAGACAATGTTAAGTTTTCTTATATCTTTCGATATTGAAACTTATTTATGAGTTAAATTAAAATTCCAGTTGAATTTAACAAAGTAAACAATACTCTAAAAATGATGTATGATTGTCAACTGACCTTTAGACAATTTTTTAAAACTTTCCCAAATAAAAAAATAAATAATCAAAGGCTTACCAAGGCGAATACCGCTGGGATTCATGGCACTTTTGTCACCAGGAACAGTATTTTTGTTGCACGCGATGCTACAGAGTTCCAGTATACGTTCCGCTCGCGCACCACTCAGGCCAACGTTGCGAACATCTACCAACACGATGTGTACATCAGTACCGCCTGTGGCAATCTTGTAGCCGCGAGATATTAATCCTTCACATAGTCTCTTAGCGTTTTTAATTACCTGGAAACGTAATTTAAATGTAATTATTTCTCTATAAAATATCAAGCAAATTAGGTTTGTAGTTAAGACAGTTTCAAGTATGAGAGTCGTTTTTCTTTAAATCTTCTGTTATTTCTAAAAATAATTTGTAAGATCTCAAGGCAATTTGTTGTTTAGAGCGTCAGGGAAGAAAACAGTTTGGTATGATAGAGGACAAACAAGCTCAGTGTTTATTGATGGTGGGTGAAATACCTCAGTCATATAACATCTAAACAAATGCACTTAGACCATTTATTATAGATTCGGTTTGGATCATCGTTTGAAATTTATACAATATGTTTAGGTGGATTGTCATGCAATACTCCACAACTGCAGATAAGAGAAACAGTTTTTTGACAGATACTTCTAAGTTTCACACACCTGTGTTTGATATTCAACGAACTCCGGCATCGTTGCCTGCTTCATAGCTGTAGCAATTGCAGCTATTGCATGGTTATGGGGCCCTCCCTGCAACCCAGGGAACACTGCCATATTAATCTTATCTTCCAAGTCGTACATAATTTTCACTCCCTTAGCATTGACTGAGCGAACTCCTTTACGATAGAAGATCACCCCAGCACGAGGTCCTCTAAGTGTTTTATGAGTAGTTGTAGTCACAACGTCGCAATATTCGAAGGGACTTGGAACTACACCTGCAATTTTAATCCAGCATAAGTTTTATTAGTCTTACATGTCCAATAAAGGAAATACTTCTGGTAAAGCATTTTAGATTGCAGATATTGTAGAAATGTCTGTAGAAATGTGCCTGGCGATTGCTTCACCATCTAAGCCACGGTGTAACCTAATGGCGAAATGTTATTGCGACCATAATATTGAACTTGCGATTGTTGTGTTATTTGTTTGCGATACCTATCAATGCTTTTCAGAGTAAGAAAAATCATCAAAGATCAAAGTCGATTGTTTTAATAATTTTTTTTTATACCATATACATATATACTTCAAATTAAAAAATATCATCATGTTAAAACTTTACATATTAATTGTTCTTGGTGGTAGTTAAGATAACAAGAAACAGATAACACAACCAGTACTCCATTGACCAATATTAGATATATCTGGTTCATATTATCATTATGATAGCAAGTTATTGTTTTAAATAAATACTATGCTTGCATCTTATAGACATTAGTAAGTAGATGTTCGTATTACAATTGTATTATTAGATCGATTATTGAATAAGAACACAGAAAAAATAATATTCCAAAACATTGACATTCAAGCTTAGACAAGAGAAGCAGTTGCCAAGCCTAAGAATTACATACTAGCCCAATGTACCAATTGAGCTAGCATGTCGCTAACTATGTTCATTGAATTACAAACGAAATATGAGGCTGCTAGACGCATAGTGGCCAAAAAAGATGATTTTCAATAAGGAGGAAATAAAAATGTGCATTCAAGTTAAAATTAGTTCGTACTATTATTTGTGACTGACCGCTTCTGTAGCCAAATGGTTAAACGTATTGCCTAGCATTGCGTTATGGGCAAGAGTCGAGGGTTCGAATTCCAGGGGAACAAAAAAAAATTGTTTCGGTCGGGCAGGGCACAGAAGTCTGATCAACTACTTGCCTGTTTTTTGACTATGAACTTAAGACATAAAATTGCAGTTAGGCTACTCTGTCTCTAGTGGCGTCATATGTATGTAATAATACCTGCAGCAACAAGACCGGATATGTGTGCCATGTCTCCCATCAAATATGAACCATTTTCATTTGCAATTTCTTTAAACCTCTTGTAGTCAAGGCACCGTGAATAGCAACTTATCCCAGCAATGATGAGGCGTGGCTTGAACAATCTTGCTGTTTCTGCCAATTTGTCATAGTCGATAAGACCCGTAGTTGCATCTACCTGTGGTAGAAAAAAATATTTAATTCTGCACACATAATATTTTTCTAATATAATTTTGTATATTGGTTAGTGCATGTGTGTCTTTTACTAAACTTACTAATGTCTGTGTAGTAAATCAGGCTAAGTAATTCCAAATTACGCAATAAGCATGTTGCAAGTAATGACATTACAAATAAGGTTACATTTACTCTTAGGAGTGATTAATCAGAAATGTTAATGTGATTTAATACACCAACCTAAATAAAATAGTTTATACCTTTAAAATTATTAGTCAATGAAGCAACTACTATAGAAAAAAGCATACTTTCTATTTCACAAAAAGTGTGGGATATCTCGAATAACTGCTGTGCGTCCCCTTCACTTGTAATGTTACATGATACAATATGAAAGCTGTCTCTACTCTCAAAATCTGCTTTATTGTTTTTTTTTCTTCACCTAAGCTATGGATCTATGTTGACAGAGTTAAATTTTAAATAATAATACTTGTTTTAAATTGGTAGAAAATAATACTTACTTTATAGGGCATGCTTTCAAAAAATATAGATGTGGCTGAAATTTTCTTTGTAGCAGTAAAGAAACCATGGGTTAGATGACCTCCATCGGGTAAATCAAGACCCATAATACGACCGTGTGCTTCAACAATGCCAGTGTATACAGCAAAATTTGCTGGTGAGCCTGAAAATATTGATGAATTATTTAGTTGTTAAGTATGAAAAAAGTTAATCTGTTTTGAAAAACTTTCTTAAAAACTTTACCAGAGTATGGTTGGACATTAACACCCCATTCCTCGGGATTAAGACGGTAAGCTTCTAATGCTCGTTTTTGAGCTAAGATTTCTATTTCGTCTATGTATTCATTTCCCCCATAGTACCTGTAATAAAATTTTTATATAAACTTGTACTTAGATACCACTTTATAATTAATAAAAAATAGCTTTAAATGTATCTTACTTTATAAATTATGGCAAATAAAGTGTAATTTTAAATATTGTAAAGGTTTTTTACCGTTGATTTGGCATTCCTTCCGAGTACTTATTGTGGAGACAGGAACTCAAACATTGCAAAACAGGAATTGAAGTAAAGTTTTCAGATGCAATCATTTCAAGACCACTTTTCTGACGCTGTTTCTCATTTTTAATTATATCAAATAATTCTGGGTCTGTGTCCCGAAGGTTACCATTAAGTAAGTTATTCATGCTGCTAGTAAATCTCCTTGGAGTAGTTAAAGTCTAAAATAATAAAATACAATTTTTATATTACTTGCAAACTAATTCAGCTATAGCTAATCCTGTGTCGAACTGAATGTGAATTAATAGGAGGCAATTTCGATAGCACTTTAATAAATAATATCCAGCCTCGAGGTCGCCGATACATTGAACTTTTACTGATAAGGGAATAACGCAATCAAAAACAAAAATGTATCTTTAATAAAACCTCACGTAAAATTATCACACGCGTATTTGATATTCTATATAATAATAAATTATTTAATAATATTAAAATACGGCGTAGGAACCAAACTTTATTTTTAAAAACTTCTTACTTACGAAAATTCTGGTGAAACTCGAGTAGCGCATACGCTTGTAAAATGTGGAAATGTTTTAAATTTAACCTAGCAGGATAAGAGTCGTCGGAGGTATTAAAGTTAAACTTCTAACAAAACATGTCAAGTTAATTTGAAACTTTAGTAATACTTTACCAAACTTACCACAACGTTGACTTTTCTTTGTATGTTTGCAGACGACTCACGCAAAAACCAGAAATAATTCCCTCGAAAGCTCCGAGAAACATCTTTAAAACAATATTTCGGAATTGTATTCCACATATCTTCAAGTCTTTAAAACAATCCAATCCAATTATTTCTGCTGTTGTATATTTCTTTCTGAAAACATTTATCGTTTTATCAATTTCGATAACCCATTATGAACTTTATGTAACTCCAACAATGAAACGCTGCTAACGCCACTTTGACGTTTGTATAATTTTTATAGCTGTCAAATTTTATTTGAAATTTGGCGCCCTTAATCTTTAAGGGTTAAGCCGCATTCACACTTGACTGATGTGACCTGTTGTGTTGCATCAGCCTAATGCGGGGAGTTTGAAACATTCACGCTAGTCTTGCGCGTATATTGTGACGGCGTCTGTCTTGTCGCATCAATTATAACGTTTCAGTTTTGTTTACGGTGGAGGAGCGAGATGGTTTACCGACGCCATTACACGGCATGGCTTTTCTCTTTATGGATTATGCGCCTGTGCTACTTCGACAATGCAAATATCTTTAGTCGGCACTAAGCTCGTACACATACGCCTCATAATGATGCACGACATTTTTACATGGACGGGAAGGGCACTAATAGCAATATTATAATGTCGAGATATTTTTCAAATAAATACTTACATAACAAGTTACGAGTAACAATGTGAATATCTTATTTTTAAGAATGGTAATTATCTTAGAAATATTGATAAAGTTCCTTTTCTAGAACAATGGCTGTTTTAATTCAAATATGTTCCGAAGGCGTCAGAACACGACGTATACATATGAACACTAGCAATTACGTCGCAACAAGTCACGTCACAGCATGGCAGCCAAACATAAATCCGTTAGGCGTCCTTCAGTTTGTAGCCTAGTAATAAATTTAGAATTGAAGTTGAAACTGAAAGATTATTTATGTTTATTATTGAGCATTCGCGCTACACCGGTCTACTCCGGTCTTCGCCGAAACACACTGCATAAAATACACTTCAGGTAAGTTTCACCTTAATGGCTCTCTCATAGATAAAGCTTAAATACATTTATTTAAACAAACATTCGGCTGTCATTCTATCTTGACTTATTAATGACTCCTTTACAAAACGGTTCAATGTTATTATGTTTCTGCTTATTTACTACGTCACGTTTGACTAGTTCAGGACAACATATTAATAAAATTATAGGTGTTCATTCGGCATTAAATATATTAATTACCTAGTTTTACGACGTGCACTGTGTACTTATTATAATTTAACATAAACTAGACAGTACAACTGTAAACGACATTCTGTTACGAAGATGTTTTGAGGTTAACAACGCGGATGGAGTAATGTTGACAATTATTAAGCCATTGTTTTGCTGATCTGGATATACACAGTTGTAGTCGTACACAATTTGTAATAAAGCATTGTAGAGCAGCTAAATGCTCTCAATGATGTAGGAATATTTATTAATTTGAATTAAAACAAAAATTAAAATGTTAAATTCAATTGATTTGATACATACAAGCTGCAAAACAGTTATAAATTTGATGTAAAACTGATTGAAGTTTTAATCTATGGAAAGTTTTTAATCAACAAAACAGAAATTTCCCCATTAGATACTTAGTTATTTAATTATGAATTAGTTCCTATTTTATATTAGTGTATCTCTAATATTTTCTTTGTCCCTTTATATTATGAAATAGCCAAAATGCTTGCTTACTAATAACTGTTAACATTCTCAGGAAGGATTTTGCTGAGAATCAAAAACTGACAATTTTTATTAAGAACCTTTTAAAATAAACAAGATTTAACTAACATTTTTGGCAGTCTTTCAAAATATTCTTGTCTAATTTAAATATTTTTTCTCAATTTCGTTTTTTTTTATTACTTTCCTGATTTGGGTTAACGAAACGATAAATATTTTTTTCATACTAAAAATTCTTTAGTAGATATAATAATATTTCTGCAATTATTATTTGACGAAGAACGAGTTTTTACAAATACTTCGTTAAAAACAAAACTATTTCGAAAATTTCCCTAATAAGGACAAGATCTTAGGAAAAACTAGGGTGCCTATATCTCTTGCATATATAAAATCGAAGTGGCTAAAATTAGTATCTTCAACTGTGTATAGTTCAATAAAATTAGGCAGTTTAGAAGTCAACTTTTTGACATCAACTAACTCTGAAAGCAAGTCTCCTTTTCCATAAAATATAGCAATGGGCGCAGTTATCTTTTCTACAGGATACGATGGTGGCGCATGTGTACCATATTTTTGTAAATTTAAGAGTTTGTAATCGTACTGTCGGAAATAACCAGACCTCACCAGCTGGGCGTAGTGGACGTATTGTTTAACAGAGGATCCAGCAGGAAAATGGTTATAAATAACTGATAAATGTTCAAAATTGGTTTGCTCAATATTAGAGCCTCCCATGACAGACGCAAATTGTTGACAAAAAATAAACGCACCTAAGTTATGTTTGCAAAAAGCCTTCTGATATAGTTTTACTAGAGGGGAGTCTGGAAATATCTCGTGTATGTCCAGTATCTTGAAAAGTTCATGTACTTCCTCAAATATCGGTACTCCGTAACGTATCGGAGATATTATGTTAGACATCCAGGCTACAGACGATAGTGAAATCATGAGATTGATTTTTTCATTATACTCTGGTAACAATGAACACATAACATAGAAAGCCGTAGTTCCTTGAGAGTGTCCAATGTATGTCAACGTTTTTCTTTGGGTTTTTTCAAGAACAAAATCAATCATAGTAGGTAGATCTATGAATCCTATTTCATGAAAACTGAAGTCCCAAAATTGTTTCTCAGATGGACTAGTGTATATGTTAGACCGGGAGTGTTTAGTACCTCGGGCATTTCCCATCCACACGTCGTATCCCTTTTGCGCTAATAGAAACGCTATTCCAGCGTTGACACCAGGTGTTACTAAGTCATCTGCACTACAAAGTAACCCATGCATAACAAAAACGACAGGGCCATGTCCAGGTATTCGAAACATTTTTAATCTATAGCCATCGTTGGTTATTACTGTATATTCCTCTGACGTGTAATTATTCTTCTTTATCAATTCTGTAATATTCAAATAATTATCTTCAGTGTCCACACTTACGTCTGTCGATGTTACATTCGTATTGATAGGATTTTTCTTGACGAAGTTCATAAACTGATTAAAGGCCGAATCATTTGAAAAAGTATCTGTTAAAATATTGTTTCCACAAGAGACTTCGTAATTAATAATTAGTAAAAGAAGACATATGCCGCCTCTAAGTCTAAAATAATGTATCATATTGTCCGATTTTAATACAAAAAAAGGAGTCACGGGGAAATAGAAAATGGCTTAACATTATATACTCCTACGAATTAAATGTACCGTACGTCAGGTGTTACTTGTGGGTGTTACAAATAGAAAATCTTTTTGTCATGTAAATTGTAATACCTATGTTTACAGGCTGTTATAAAGTGTTATAAAAAATAATATGCAATAATACGTGAAAATAATGAAGTTTCCAGCAATATATTTCTGATCATTTTGATAACAAAAAAGATTTTTTCTTCAAAATTAACACTATTTATGTGTAATAGTCACAGTACTGACTTATACATTTCTTTATTTAAACTAGTTTATTATTTTAACATTGTTTTCTTATAAGGACATCCTTTACACGAGACCCATGCCATTTCCTTAAACAAACAAAGTTAGAAACAATTTCATTGTACTATCAAGGTTTACCCAACAAAGCCGTATTGTTACGTTTCAGACAATTAAGGTACTTGTACCACAAAAGTAAGCTATTTACAATTTCGTGTATTACGCACAATATGTTAAAAGTTAAAAGGCAACAACCCAAGCGCCATGGTGATTTATTATTCGAAAAAGTTTTGCCTATATTTAATTGACCATGTGGTCACTAAGTCCTTGATGATTATAGCTTTTACCATAAATAAAAAATAATAATATAATGGAAACCACAGTTGTTCATTCGACGGGATAGATTTGGTGTCATCTACACCAGTTCTTACATACCATTTAGGTACATCTGAAACATGAGAACAAGAAGAGAAACAAGAAGAGAAGTAATGATTATAATCTAAATCTGCTGTTAATTATGTTCAAAAATAATATAATAAGGTTCATAATGTGTAAATTTCTAATTCTATAAAATAAATAAGTTTTAAAAATACAATCTTATCTAATTTATATAATTCTCGTGTAACAGAGTTAGTTACTGTAGTCCTACACAACGGCTTAATCGATTTTTATGAAATATGCAGTATTATATACATATTTAGTCGGTCTAAGAACTGGTTACTATATATTTTTTATTCATCTTAAGACTTATCCATGCCTAACATTTGTTTTTTATTTCTTGACAATTTTTAAATTTATGTTTTATAATGTGGCATTAAAAATTACATACAACACTTAGTTTTCACTCTTCTACCGTCAACCCGCTTGTTAACTAAAAAATTGTCATATTATCATTGTTTATCGAGGTATTCGGCCGACGTGAGCGAGAAGAGGTTCTCGACGTTTCGCCAATACGACCGGACGGCATCATCAGGAGATGTTAGCTCCTTAATTATTTGAAGAATTAAATAACTTTTATAACTAATTCTTCGGTCGAACAGCTCGAAAAACAATGATATGCTGAACGATGGCCGTGAAAGCCTCACAATTTGTTAATCAATTATCACTTGGCAAATTATCCACACCAGTCGTCTACCGCTGTTAGGTGTTTTGTTTTTTTTATATGTCCTCGTCGTACACAGCGCTCCTTTATACCTACAGACAGCATTACCGGCAATATTTAATTGAATATTAAAATACAAATATAAAGAACAAAAAAAAAAACTGCCCAAAGCTTGTTCCAGGTTTAGGGTGGCTTGCTACGCTTCGGCTCGCCCAAAACGCCCGGTTAGTATTCGTGGCTCCTTAGGAACACAATACGTAAGAGTCCAATCAAAAAAAAAAAAAATACATTTCAAATAGATCGACAAAGCATCATTGCTGTTCATTGAATAGCCTGAGGCGCGTAAGAACCATATCTAACTACAGAAACAGAAAATTGTTCCCACATAGTCGACGATTTTACGAACAAAAATGTTTTTAAAAGTATTCGTACAACGTCCTAGGACCTTTTACTTATAAATTGCTGAGAAGGACTTTTAAGCAAAAGGAAGCGTCTACTTTTTACAACAATACGTTTACTTTTCATATCTTGATTATATTTAATGTTATATAACTCAAACGAATTTTATTTTGCCTTAACAAGGAAGTTTTTCATCAAAGCTTAATTACCACCTTGTATCAATTGAAAAACTCAGAAAAACACGAGAGTGATCATCTTGTACTATCGTCTAATATATATCAATTGTTATAAATAAAGAAAGAAGCTAGTAACATACACTGAATTATGAGATAAGTCATTTGTGATTGCCGCTAATGCCTACACTAGTTCAACAATTTACAGCAAAAGCTGTCTGTAATAAACAATAATCTCAAAATTATATTTATTCCTTTATAAAAACCAGGAAATAGGAAAAGATAAAAGTAAATAATCTCTTTTTGTGTCTAATAATATTTTATTTAGTAACGATCAACATATTAAAATATTTCAAATTATAAAGATTAGAGACAACTGCTCGATTCTATTGACTAAAGTAGACTTATTTTGTATAGTTCCCCATTAATGACATGATTTTTGGAAACAGTAGAATGCCTTTATCTCTTGCATATATAAAATCGAAGTGGCTAAAATTAGGATCTTCAACTGTGTACAGTTCAATTAAATTAGGCAGTTTAGAAGTCAACATTTTGACATCAGCTAATTCTGAAAGCAAATCCTCTTTTCCATAAAATATAGCAATCGGCGCCGTTATCTTTTCTACAGGATAAGATGGTGGGGTATGCGTACCATATTTTTGTAAATTTAAGAGTTTGTAATCGTATTGCTGGAAATAACCAGATTTTACCAGTTGGCCGTAATGAACGAATTGTTTAACAGATGACCCAGCAGGAAAGTGATTATAAATAACTGATAAATGTTCAAAATTAGTTTGTTCAATGTTGTAGCCACCAATAATAAACGCTAATTGTTGACAAAAAATAAAGGCGCCTAAGTTATTGTTACAAAAAGCCTTTTGATATAGTTTTATTTGATGAGAGTCCGGTAATAACTCGTATATGCCCAATACATTTAAAAGTGCTTGCAAGGCCTCAAGTATCGGTGCTGTATACCGTAAAGGAGATCTTATGTGAGACAACCAGGCAACAGCCGATAGTGACATCATAAGGTTAACTTTTTCGTTATATTCAGGGCGCAACGAACACATAACATAGAAAGCCGTAGTTCCTTGAGAGTGTCCAATGTATGTCAACGTTTTTCTTTGGGTTTTTTCAAGAACAAAATCAATCATAGTAGGTAGATCTATGAATCCTATTTCATGAAAACTGAAGTCCCAAAATTGTTTCTCAGATGGACTAGTATATATGTTAGACCGGGAGTGTTTATTACCTCGGGCATTGCCCATCCACACGTCGTATCCCTTTTGTGCTAATTGGTACGCTAATCCAGCGTTGACACCAGACGTCACAAAGTCATCGGCACTACAAAATAGCCCATGCATAAGAAAAACAACTGGGCCTTGTCCAGGTATTCTAAAAATTTTCAATCTATATCCATCGCTTGTTACAACTGTATATTCGTCCACAGCATAATTATTTTTCTTTATCAATTCCGTTATATTTAAAGAATAATCTTCACTTCCTGCGCTTACATCGGTCAATTAAACATTTGTATTGATAGAATGTTTCTTAACGAAGTCAATAAACTGCTCAAAGGCAGTATTAAACGGAGTATCGGTTAAGATATTGTTTTCACAAGCGACTTTATAATTCCCACCGATAATACAAAGAAGAAACAATGTCCTCCCTTCATTCATAATTTAATACCTACGTATTTTTTATCATGAGTGAAAATGAAGGTACGAAAGACACGATGAAGATAGAATTTATACGATGGCTTAGGAATTTATACTCTTTCAGAACATATGTATCTTACGTTCGGTTCTGCCAGTTGGATTTTTCTGTTTTATAGGTAAATAGCAAAGTCCATCTCTATAGGATGTAGTAAAACGAAAGGTAATAAATATACATTCAATGTATTAAATAAAAAAAAACGTCGATAATAGCTTTAATATCTATATCAACATTATAAAGCTGTAGAGTTTGTTTGTTTGAACGAGCTAGGCTCTGGAACTACAAGTTCGAATTAAAAAAAATAATTTACTGTTAGATAGAACATTTGTCGAGAAAGGCCTATATAATACCACGAAGCAAACAACACAAGCTAAGAAACAGTGAAAATTAGGAAAATTATTCATCTTTGAGGGTTTTCGTTGCTAGGCCTGCGAAAGCGGTTCAAGAAAATAAAATATGATAGAACTATTCCTCTATAAATAAACTAAAAAAAATGTCCACGGCAGTATATGTAATCTTTAAGATTAACTCGCAAGAACGACGGGACGCGGATGACGACGAAATTTTGATGGCGAAAATATCTAATTCACGCAGACTAAGTCACGGGCACAGTAAATAAGTTATATATAGCGGCTAGTACTATAACGAGTTGAGCCAAGAAGAAGCATGAGGGTCGAGATCTGTTTTTTATTTTTTTTTCTCTCAGGACATCCTGTAAGTATTTCAGACAATTTCCATCAGCAAACATATTTCAGATCAAACTAATTGTATAGTGTATAATTGTATTTCCAAGGTTTATTAAATAAAAACGACATTGTTGTTTCAAATGTTCCTCACAAAATTTTTAGGAAATATTTGAATGCTTTGTTTATATGATCTCTTTATATATATATAATATTTTTTTTGACACGTTCCGTTTTGCTTCCCTTACAAATTGAGCTACTGTGTCAAAATATGCATGCGAGCCATAAAGGCCGTGGCTGATATAGCGTTTTTAAAGTAATCATTAATAATCTTTTTAATACTCATTTACAAAGTTTAATAATGTGTCATTTAGGTTATATATTGTAGTAAAGATCTATGTAATATATAACATTTAGGGATATAGATATAGATAATACATAATATCAATATAAATTGTCGTTAAGCTTAATTGGTAATAAAAAGGCTTTAATTGACACACAACGAAGTAGAGTTGGTGACCTGTATTTATTTATAGTTTGAAATGAAGTTTACACAAGGGTGATATAAATAATATCGCTCATTTTAGTGCTTATTGAATAGGTCATAATATGTGGCATTTCGTCAATTTCGGCACGACAAAATGTATATTTCTTGCAAAATGAACATATTATCACCTCACTTTGCAGATCTGTGGTTTTTAAATTGGACTTTATTAGTACTTAAATTATACAGGTAGACGTTCTCTGTGGGAAACATTTACAACAAAAAGCAAATACTACTGTAATGCGTCTTTATTATATATATTGAAAACACGGACAATGAATAGACGAAGTTACATTTCGTCACAACGTTTACTTAAAAAGTAATAAACAATCTCTTGAGAATTGCATCTATTGAATGGCATAAAAAAGATATAATTAAAAAATCGAAAATAAATTGAAAAATTTTTCTACTCGGGCAGGACTTGAACCGGTATCGTCAGCGTTTCGTGCTGATGCTCTTTATTTTCGATTTTTAAATTATATACAAACTTCATGTGCAATAACAAGTAAATAATAATAAAGTTTTCAAACATAACAAAGATATTCAAAACGTCCACTACAGTGAATATGGTAAATCTTATTCTCCTTACGGTTTTTCTTTATCACAGTATTTTTATATTTTGATCTTTTAATCTACACAATTATTTATTTTATATTAGGGAATATGTTTACTTCATTATTTAGATATACACAATATTATTATAAATTCTTTATTTTCATTGGTCTAATCTTTATGTACAATCTAAACACATTTCTACTTAATATTAAGTACAATTACGGGGATGACTTTTAAAGTATTAATTGATCATTAGTTATGCGTTAATGTAAATTTCTTCCCGATCGAAAGTCGCGGAGTCTTTGGGTGGGTGTTTTAAAGAGTTTTTTAAATAGGAAAATCGATGGAAGTTATAATAATACTCGGTGCCATCTGGGGAGTATTGAGGATAGAGGGTGTAAGCGGGAAACTCGAGTTCGTCGTAGGAGTTCGCCAGAGCGTGTCGGGCGAACTCCTCTTTATATCGTCATGATTGTTCTTTATAGGCTTGGCGTTTAGTGCACTTCTCCTTCAGTATGTAACATAGAGCGATGGCGATCAAAACAGCTATCGCGATGGCCATGCTTATGCTTATCCAAATTATCTCTTCGTTGATACCGCTGGTTGACTTTCCTTAAACAACGTAAGACATCTATTACTAACCATTTATTTTTTTTTGTGGTATTATTGCTGGTGAGGCCTCCGTTTTTAGAAGCGTAAGCGTCAAATATATCATCGTGTTCATAACATTAGACAAACTATTGACGTTGAACTTTTATTTTATAACAAGATAACTCTTCAAAATTTACAATTATCGCACAAGAGCTTTTGTATATTTTTTCGGACAATTTACTAGGGAACATTACTGCGGATTTTTTTGGCTTTAAAGCATTGTCTGCAAGTATTAACACTACTCCACACACATTAATGGTGTTCTGTTCTGTACATACCTCCCATTTTGTTAGAATATCCACCCATCTTCCCAGCGACGCGACCCGAGGCGCTTCCTGCCAATACGAGGACAGCCCCCGTCCGCAAATAAATTCGACCTGGAAAATTTTAATACATTTTCTTAGTGTTTGTAAAAACACGAATTTATAGTTATAGTTAGAAAAACTGTAAAAGGGTCCCCCCCGGCCGGGGGGGGGGGGCAACATAATAGGGGAAAAAAAAAAAGTGGGTTTTTTGGGGGGGGAACAAAAAAAAAAAGGGTTTTTTTCGGGGGGGGGGGTTTTTTTCCGGGGGGGGGGGGGGGAAAAGGGGGTGGCAGGGGGGGGGAAAAATTTAAAAAAAATTTAAATTACCGTTCTTTTAAAAAAAAAATTTTGTGTTTGTTAAAAAACGGCGGAAACTTATTTGTACTCCTAATATTAATTCACGTTATGAAAAATGGAAAAAGAAAAGTTATTCTTTTGTTATACATAGTGATTTGCACAATTGAGGTAAACTGAGATGTTTTTTTAACAGTCACACTTCATGGTAAATTAAGGTAAAACAATTGGTTTTATATGATATCATCTGACCAATGTTGAAAACACTTTATTTAATATACAACGATGTTACATATTAATGCCTAAGATATCAAGTAAATATTCTTTTTTACTTCATAAGAAAAACACTATAAACCAGAAACGATAAAAACTTTAGGCTACCTGAGTTTCCTTATGAACATCGATCTTATCAGTTAACATGGGTATAGTCATAAGGTACAGACAAAATTAAATTTAAGATAGAGGAAGACAGGTAAGCCTGGTTATCCCACCCATATAACATCTAAACAAGATGCGATGACGAATTATTTTGGCTTTGGATATTCGGAAATCGGCAGAGTGAAACCGAAACGCGACTTCACGACTTTTACATCTGTAGACGGTTGTTCGTGACTCGGACGAATTTCGATATTCCTACCACTAATTTCATATCCCTATTTCCAGATGAAGTCCAACATGTTTTAGAAATATTATAAAGTCGCGATTCGTTGATTATTAGCATACATTGCTAGACATTACACCAACGAGCCCATCTAATATTTACTAAATCTTAAGCTTTATCTGTTTCTTTGCGAAGATTAGATATAGGTACCTACCGATTACGTGCGCCATGGCTTGTTTTTTTTTCTGTTTTTTTGACAACTAATTAAAAAGCTCGAAGATAATCGCTGTTGGTTGTGACGCTACAGCACTTCAGTTAGATCTGAAAAGATAATAAGTTTTAAAAGAGCTCGCGAAACGCGAATTAAAATTCAAAGTGATGTTTGCATGTATATAAACATGTTTATGACTGCAATAACCAGTTATCTAGTTAACTTACAACCTAGAACACACCGTGTAGATTCATATATGTATTATTTGAATATAAACAGTTTGGATATTATCTTTTTGCTATGAATAAGTGGAAGATGACTCTTCAAAAGACATGACTGCCTAAAGCTCGGTTTAGGTTGAGGGTGACTTGCTAAACATACATTGAGCAAAGGTCTACAACCGTAGGGCCAGGTTCTACTATGCACCAGTGCCTTGGTACTTAGGTCGCCTAGTAATCCCATCTTTGAATTGAGATAAGTAAAAAAGAAACGAAACTTTTTTTAACGCTTTTAAATGAAATGTTTTTGTTTGTTTTTATAATTTGGAGATATTAATATGTTCAAGCCACGTGGTAAACGGGGATGAGAGTCTGATTCTCCTATATGGCTTGTTTAGCTAGCTACGCTACTGAAAATAGGTCGACCATGCATCATCGCTGTTTATTGATTAATATAGCATGCGTAATGGTATTATTAAAATAATAGCTGTGCCAGCAACTTAGCCCTCGTAGAATAGTTATTTTGGGTATGAAAATTTGTTTTTGTAAGCCTCGTCTTTCTAAATTAATAACAACTGTTACCCACGATGTCAATTGCGTTCCGTCGTTCTTGCAGGATAATCTTAAAAGAAAGCCAAATACTATAACGGATATTTTTTAGATCATTTAAAGAGGAATTATTCCCTCATACATATAACATACATATTTCCTATAAGCTCCTTTCTCGATAAATGTTCTAACCAACACAAAAAAATAATAGTTCCTGAGATTAGCTTGTTCAACAACAAACAAAGTGATTCGCTTTATAATATTACTATAGATACAAAATTTTACTAGTCTAGTAATCCCAACAACAATCCGTACAAGACAGCGTCAAATTTATATTAAAATAAGTTTACCGTGCCTCGAATCGATTAAAGCCACAAATAACTTGTAATATTACATAAATCAGACAAAATCTACAACACCTACTCAAAAGCAGTTCGTAACTAAAAACCCAGCAATAAACATGCCATAATGATCATGAACACAAAGTACTAAAATCGTGTTTTACGCCCCCGGTACGTTAGACATTTATAACGGGCTTTGTGGCTTGTGTTGAATGCATAGAAAATTCACCCACGGGCTAAAGAGCAAATGTAGCTTGAAAGATTCAAAGTGGACGGCGTTGCTATCTTTAGTGTGATTGCGCTGACAACGGCATAGCATTTTTACCCAAAGACGGCAAAGCGAAGAATCTTGTTTCTCGGTCTATGTATGATGTATATATATATAATATGTTCAACTCCAGCACTCATAATAATAGTTAATCGAAAGATAAAATCTTTTACTAAATGCATAATATTCTTAAGATCGAACTACAACAAACAAGTTTACGTCGCCTAGACGGTGACACCACACAAGAGGTAAATACCGCCCCTGTAGCTAAATCGTTACAAGTGTTGCCTAGCATTAAGTAAGCGGCAGAGGTCTTGGGTTCGAATACCGAAATCTATTAAGATTGCTTTGGTCGAGCTAGGCGCAGAAGTTTGATCAATTACTTGCCTGTAACCGAACCGATCAGAATGACACAGAAATGTATATGACTAATGCCCCACGTAGAGAAACGAGATTTCACTTTCTTTAATATAAGAGGTGTCTGTCAATATATCATAAAAACAAACAGACATATCGCACCTCGGAAAAATTTTTACTGAAATAATATCAATTCCGAGAAAGTCTCTGCATTCTCTGCAAAAGCGTGAAAAAAATATATGTTAGATACTATCAAATAAAAAGGTAAAAAATGTGGCAGCGCAGCTTTCGCATTTCAGTTATTACATCGTTGCTTTTTATACTCACTCTACAATTTTTATCCCTTATTTATTTAAGTATGCCTGAAAGAGCTGTAACTTTAACAATATACTTATAATTTAAATATGACATTCATGTGTTAGATTTAAGGTGAGTGAGAGTTATTATGAGAATTATCTTAACATTATTTTCCCTTAGAAAAACAAAAAAGGTTCGTCTATCTCTAAATTCCGGAAAATACTTTTTCTTACCAGTATTCCTTATATACAATTTCAAACAATCAGCGAATAAAACTTTGGAGGCTAAGGTATTTTTCCATGTTTTCTTTACACCCTCAATCCCTTGGGTGATACGAACGTGTGCTCACATTAAAGAGATAAAATAGAGAATCTCTTCCAGTGGCAAAACATTTTATCGCCTTCTTTTTATTACCTTATAACCAACTTTATTCGCTATAAATATGTCCTTGGAATAACGTTACTCAATGTTCAGCTAGTGACGAAATCGGTTTTTATAGTTAACTAAGAGTCCAAAATAACTAAGACCCAAAGTAGTTTTTTTGTCCCAACTCCAGCTATGAACGATTATCCGACCAACAACAATCTATACTCTATGCTCTACACTCAATTTCGCTTCTCGCCAAGACGGTGAGAAAACTGTCATTTGTTTATTAACATTTTTTTCAAATATTAAAAATAGACGTATGTATAGGACACAGTACGTCAATTGGGTAAAGGCAACAGAACGGAACGTTGTGGGCGCTGGATCAAGTCCTGCCCGTGTTGTAAAACGTTTTCAATCTAAAATTGGTTTTTATTTTTTAAAACGGGGAGTAAACATTTATTCGTTAATTATCAAACGAAGAGTAAGATATATCATATTATACGAGTATGTATACACTAGTGTTATAACTAGTTGTACAAGTATTTATACTATTAAAAAAATCCATGTAACGCAATATGTACATGACATACATTATTTTCTATTAATATTTTTTCGTTGTTATATTCGTATATGACGAGTAAGTAGTCCGTAATCAAAAATTTTCCATTTTTTGATAAAAATGTAATATTAAGTAATTGTACGAACTTTAAAAAAAACATTAAGTAGCTCGATACTTTAAATAAAAAGAATGTTAAAAAACTGGAAGAAAAGCTAAAAAAGTTTAACCATCTGTGCCGAGATTTCGTTTACATTTATTATACCGAGCCTCGTAGCTTACTCGCGATTAATTAATTATATTAAGTACTTAGCCACAAGTTTAACAGAAAAAATGCTTAGGTATTTTCAACGAACGTTTTATTTTAAAACAATAGAACGATACACATAGATTGATAAAAGTCACAGTTTCCGATAACGATATTTACTCAAGCTATATACTACTAAGGCTTATTTACTCATAATAATGTGTGGTGAGCGTGAAATTGGCTTTAACGGTATGATTAGCTCCTGAGATTAGTTACAGTGCCTTCCACGTAGAAAATTGTTCTCGAACTATCCGACACAGATCGCCCGAGTATGCCAGCTAAAGTTTGTCTCAAATAACACTACGTTTTACCACTGTCTACTTTATATCTCTAGAGATGAGCTTCAGAATGGAAATTGCTTACTAATACGAGAAAAAAAAAACCAACTATAACGAATGCCATCGAATAAGACATAAAATGGTTAAAGTGTTGCCTTCAGGGCCAGAGCGATAAATTATTTTAGTGGAGCCTTAGAGCCTTTGTTTTAAACAAACTTGTTCTGCTTTTACACTAAGAAACAATCGTTCTGTATTTTCACGTTTGTTATCAAACTTGATGGAAAATATGTTTTATGTCCATCGATAAACTTATAAAGTTTGTGGTTGGCACACAATAGACATCAATTGAGAATACACATAAATATTCCGTGACTTGTGGAAGTGGGCTAGACTGTCAACAGGAAATGGTTCCGGGGTTGAAGTGGAGTTGTTGCGACACATACACTTACTTTATATGCAGCAATGGACTTAGAACAAGAATCTCAAAAGGCTCTTATTGTTATGATTTTTATTTTATATATTTTTTAAGTTTTTTAATTTTATTTAAGGACCTGGTTGTTTGTTCGGACAACAATATTTCCTAATCTAGTCTACTTTAAATTTTGCAGAAACATACTTCAAAGGATTTATAGAATATGCTTTTCAGGTTTCATTATTATGTATGTACCCAAACAGGGTTACAAAGTACAGCAAGGTAATTACCCGCGGGGCGCTAGTAAAAATATTAAACAAAATTCGTTTAACAAAATAAAAGTAAAGAGAAGGAAGTAGATGTTGTCACATCGTTTAAGCTAGAGTTTACTTCTAGTTTTTATAACAGTTTTGAAACTTCTCAGGGCTCTCACGGAGAAAGAAATGGATGAGTTGATGACTTGTTCTTTTTTTGAAACCTTGAATACTGTTCATATCTAAATACGCTGTATTCTTACTTGATTAGTATATTCTTTATCTTTTACATTATGATAAATTAACGTTCAAGTTCCATAATGGGTATCTATCAGATCAAGTGTCTAATAAAGCGTTAGGGAATGATATCAAAATGAGATGGATTTCAGAGTACCCACAAAGAAACATTTCATTGAATGCCAACAATAGTTGATAAGAATAATGGCTTTTGAAGAGCTCTAAGGAAAATGAAAGATGCGAATCGATAGAGGCTGTATTGTGGGTTCTTTCATTAATTTCTTTGCTGGCGTTCTTCATCACCAAAGTCTAAAAAAATGTATGTATACCTCTCCCCGCAATTCTAGAAACCGAAAGTTATAAGACATGGTTAGTAACTACAATTTAATGAAAAGTATTCAGTTTAATCCCTAATTCTAATAACAATATTCAATAATTCATTTTTATAGTCGAAATTTCGATGCTCACGTACCTAAAGACCTTTAAAGAAGACATTCTTTTATTAGAGTAAAGATATCAAAGGTTGTTTAAATTAAAAACCAAATGGTTTTAACTCAATTCAGTACCAGAGAATCTGAA